TGGAATATCAAGGTTGTGGACCCTATAGAGGTCACAATTTTGATCCGATTTTGATGAAACTTGAAATACATATTTATAACCCAAAGAGCTTGGTTCCTTTCGATATTCGCACATATTGGATCATAACTTCCTGAATTATGGCCCTTGATTGTACGAAAAGTCGCGTTTTTAGGATGTGATCCCTCTAGATGTCACAATTTTTATCCGATTTAAAAAAAAGTTTGAATATATCACTGTTACACTGTTATGATGGTTGAGTCCGAATTTCGTACAAATCGGACCAAAACTGCCGGACAGAATGGCTGCCCACCGTACGCAAATATTGTAAATGTGTGGTATATCAAGGTTTTGGACCCTCTAGAGAGAGGACACAATTTTGATCCGATTTTGATGAAACTTGAAATGCATTCATGCATATCGGATTGTAACTTCCTGAATTATGGCCCTTGATTGTACGAAAAATCACTTCTTATTTTGAGCTTGTTCTCTGTCCATCTCTTGCAAAATGTGGGCGTATCTTGAATGGCAACCGCTTGTATAAGAATTTTGTGTTTAGAGTCAACACATTCCTTAATTTACCCCCCCCCCATTAATTCAAGCCCTTTAGTTCTACTTGTCTTGTATTTCAACTAACAACCAGATTCTTAATCTGATGATAATAACTAGGTTTTCAATATATGTTTTTTTTTATTTTGTTTAATTTCAGTATATACATTCTGCTGGCATAATACACAGAGTAAGTACTTTAAACATATTTACTTACATGCATGTGAGTTACACTCAAGCCTGGAAATAAGGCACCTGTCACAGACATTGTCAGGCACAGATTCAGGCTTTGTCAGGTACAAAACCTCTGGTACCTGTCATTTTGTCTGATACTGATTTGTCTTTTTTTATTGATATTATTAATACATGTCCGACACTAAGTTGAAAATGTCAGGTACTATTTCATTAGTGTCTGACATTTTGTCACATACATCTAAAACCATTATTTCCATGCCTGGTGACACTGTAGATCTTGTACCGTATACTTTGGGGGTTTTAAGTTGAGAAAGGATACATATCGTTTACTCTCCAATTATCGTTTAATAATTGTTAAAAATCATTTGGAAACTCTAAAAATAGTGTATATGGTTTAGTCGAATGTTGACTGTGTAATTCTTCTCGATATGTGTGTGTCAGTCAATGACCCGTCTATTTATTAGACGAGTAGGACGCTTGCTAACCAGGTGGTCTCGGGTGCTCCTATGCTGGGCTAACGAAGACGGACATACGCCATACTCCTATATCGAATTCCAACTGCCAAGGGATCTTTTACGTGCATTCCAATGTAAACACAGGACCTTGGTTTTTGGTATCATCTGAAGGACTAGACAGCTGTCCTTGTCAGACCCTCCGTCCAGCATCACAGACAAGGGGGAACCACGCCGGAAAATCCGGATGAACTTTCTCGGCCAATGCAGGGATCGAACACCCGACCTCCCGGCTAGTGAGCCAGCGTCTTACCCACTTAGCCACTGTGATCCCCGATCCTGGACAGAACAATGTCTAGTATTTCTGATGTCCCGTGTACACATTTGCATGAACGTAAAAGAACCCTTGACAGTTGGAATTCAATATAAAAGGCTGTAGTGCCGCTGTCAGGGCAAAATTTCCCTCATAGCACACTGTATGGTGTATAGCCTAGTCTGAACAGATTAGTAGGACGTTAAACCCCATTTTATTTTACGCTGTTTTATTCAGGATTTAAAACCAGGTAATTTAGCGGTTAATGAAGATTGTGAATTAAAGGTAAGAATGAAATACAGATATATACTTTCATTGGCCTGACCATTTGTACTGGGAGGTCGTGTCAGGGGTCATTCATTTGATTAATCAATCAGCGTTGGTGTTCCAATCTGATTAGGGGGGGTTGGATGGCTGAATGGTTAGCGTGCGCGCGCTGTATCATAAAGTCTGTCATTGAGTCGACTGGCGTGGTTTCGAATCCCCGGTTGTACATGACAAGGAATAGGGTCGCCTGTCCAACCTTGTTGGTTTTCTCCGGGTCCTCCGGTTTCCTCCCACTGCTAAAGACCCCTAAGCGCTAGCGAATTATTGAAATAAAATTGAACCATGTGTTAGTCCCGAAATGACCTAGTTTGTGTTGAGTGGACGTTAAACTCTCTCTCTCTCTCTCTCTCTCTCTCTCTCCAATCTGATTAAAATACAGATCTATATTTCTGATTGTTTTTTTATACTTTCGATGGCCTCTACTACATCTGACCGGTTGTAGTGGAAGAGGGGGGGGGGGTGGATGGCCCAATGGTTAGCTTGCGCGCGCTGTATCATAAGGCCTGTCATTGAGTCAACTGGGGTGGTTTTGAATCCCCAGTTGTACGTGACAAGGAGTAGGGTCGCCTGTCCAACCTCATGGGTTTTCTCCGGGTCCTACGGTTTCCTCCCACTGCTAAAGACCCCTACGCGCAAGCGAATTATTGAAATAAAAATTAAACCATATGATAGTCCCGAAATGACCTAGTTTGTGTCGTGTGGATGCTAAACCCCATTTCTCTCTCTCTCCCTGTAGTGGAAAGTTGTGTCAGGGGACGTACGAGCGGCTTTTGACCCTATAACATTTGGCATTTGATTAACCAATGTTTCTAGTGGGCTACCCACAGTTCCATGCATTGCATACCAAGAACTCGCTGTAACAGATCGTTTCATTGGCTAATCCCTCACATCAACCAGAGCACGGGTTATATAACGACTCTTTCAGATCCTAGTGTAGTAAAGACAAGTAAAACGAAATTTGAACTGAGTGGGAATTTGTAGTAGTTGGAGGGGAGGGGTTGGTCTTGTTGTAGTGATTGGGGGTGGGGTGGGGTATGTTGTTTTGGAGGTGTTTTGTCATAAATAAATATAGAGTAATAATAATAATAATATTTGTGTTTGTAGATTCTAGATTTTGGTTTAGCTCGACATGCTGAAGATTCTATGACAGGTTACGTTGCTACACGATGGTATCGAGCGCCAGAGATTATGTTAAATTGGATGAAATACGATCAAACTGGTACGTATATATCAACATACTGTATTTTGATTTGTCTGGTTAGCACGGTCTATTATTGAGTCAACTTGCGTGGTTTGAATTTCTGGTTGTACGTGACAAGGAGTAGGGTCGCCTGTCCAAACTCGTGGGTTTTCTCCGGGTCCTCCGATACCCTTCCGCTACTAAAGACCCCTAGCTCAAGCGAATTGTTGAAATACGATTGAACCATACATGTATGTTAGTCGTGAAATGGCCTAGTTGAAATTTATTTTGAAATTCTTTTTGTTTCAGTTGATATATGGTCAGTAGGATGCATAATGGCAGAAATGTTAACTGGTAGACCCTTATTTCCAGGCACAGATCGTATCCTTTCAAACATATACTTATCTACGCGTATCAGGCTTTCGCACAAAAGGGGAAGAAACACCATATTATTGTTATAATTGCTCACATGCGCTTTACAAAATATGGTATAGAAATTAAATATACAAATAAAATTAATAAACCAAATTATAAACAAGATATCTTATATATTTCATTAATGCATAAAATATCATTACTATTCCTAAATTAAAATATCATTACTATTCCTAAATTAAAATATCATTACTATTCCCAAATTAAAATATCATTACTATTCCTAAATTAAAATATCATTACTATTCCTAAATTAAAATATCATTACTATTCCCAAATTAAAATATCATTACTATTCCTAAATTAAAATATCATTACTATTCCTAAATTAAAATATCATTACTATTCCTAAATTAAAATATCATTACTATTCCTAAATTAAAATATCATTACTATTCCTAAATTAAAATATCATTACTATTCCTAAATTAAAATATCATTACTATTCCTAAATTAAAATATCATTACTATTCCTAAATTAAAATATCATTACTATTCCTAAATTAAAATATCATTACTATTCCTAAATTAAAATATCATTACTATTCCTAAATTAAAATATCATTACTATTCCTAAATTAAAAAGAGGTTTTACTGAGAAAAAGTGTCTAAAAATGATTCAGGGGTCACTTGAACTAAAATTCTACATCTAGTGGGCCAGAGATATACAAAAATATCAAGATAAAAAGAAAATTTGATTGATTTATTTGATGTTTCCAAATTGCCAAGATATCACATTGAACATGACTTTCTCTTGTATTATGTACAACCTAGATCTACGACATACAGTATAGATGTCAGAGTTTACTTAAACCGGAAAACAATAATAAATATACTCTTCAAAAAAAGTAGGGGATATTGAAATACAAATACCTATGAAGGTTGTGATATGATAAATATTCATGGACACTTGACATGCTTTGAGAGTATGTTCACGGATAAAGAACTTATTGCCCCAACAGAACCACTGAGCTGCACATGCGACATGCAATAGCTCCATACACGTGGGAAGGGGTCATTGTCAAATTTGACACTTCAAGAAAGGGTTGATGAATACTGCCACATGCTGGTTTATCCTATCCATGTTTACTTTCCTATCGGTTCTTGCATAAGATTTACTGTTTAGCGTATCTTTGCTTTAGTTTGTTACGTTTAATTTGCAATGAATGTCGACGCGATATTGGCATGCTTCAAATGGGTTCTACACAGCGAGTTGTAGCCAACAGCCATGAGTCCTGACCTTTCCACTATAGAGCATGTCTGAGACATGATCGGGAGACGTGTTCGTCAACGTCAACCGACAACACAGCAAGAATTGGCCGTGGCACTACAAGAGGAGTGGGTCAGATTGCCCCAAATCGTGATTGGACGGTTGATTAGGAGCATGCCACGATGAACTGCTCATTATTAAGACAAAAATCAAAAACATCAATTTTCACTTTCGACAGTGTATCTCTTTGCCAGTGAAATGGGGTAGTCAGATAAGCCGACCAAATGAACTGTTTATGTTTATATGTAGGCAATTGGCCTGTTATTAACATACACTGGTTACCTCTAATACAAACAGCAGTGCATTTCCGCAGTTTTGTATTGTTTCTGAATATCCCCTACTTTTTTTTGAAAAGTATAATTTCCACGGCTAGTTTCTAAGAATTGTCGACACAGTTTGTTGAAATTTATTCCATTTAAACCCTTGGCGGACCGGATCTGGCCCGCAGGCTGCATGTTTGATACCCCTGCTTCAACAGCTAAGGTACATGTATTTTGTTTTTTGTTTATTGTTTTTTTAACCAATATTTATAGATATAGATCAATTAACTCGTATATTGAGTTTAGTTGGAACACCAAATGATGAATTAATGAATGAGATTACTAGTGTTGATGTAAGTATATAACTACCCATAAATATCTTTCGTTTATCAAGTAACATCCGTCATTTTTCACTAAAATATCAATCAACGCTAATATATAGGCCTATTTAGCACAACTGAATCTCTGTCAATTACCCACAAATATCTTTTGTTTTTAAAGTAACCGGGGGTTGGATGGCCGAATGGTTAGCATGTGCGCGCTGTATCATAAGGTCTGTCGTTGAGTCAACTGGCGGGGTTTCGAATCCCCGGTTGTACGTGACAAGGAGTAGGGTCGTCTGTCTAACCTCAGAGTTTCTCCAGTTTCCTCCCACTGCTAAAGACCCCTACGCGCAAGCGAATTATAGAAATATAATTGAACGATGTGTTAGTCTCGAAATGACCTAGTTTGTGTCGAGTGGACGTTAAACCCCATCTCTCTTCTCTGCCATTTTTCGCTAAAATATCAGTCCACATCAATATGTACTCAGATTGAATATTTATCATTTAATTAAGAAAACAAACTAGAAATATCAAAGCTAGGTAATCTCCTGTCTGGGATTCTAGCGAATTTAAAATAGGCCCATCAATTCTATTCTCTCACAACAAGATGGCGGTGAGCTTATTACACTGTGAATAGCATAGATCGATGACATTTCAATTCAACATATCTTTGTGAATACTGAACAGAATTGAACCATTTTTAGACTGATATTAGTAATTCATCTTTTACAATGCTGTAGTTTACAAGAGATGTCCTCAATCTCTCAAGTGATGATGACCCAAGGATATTACATATTTGATATTTTACTTTATAGGCCAGATCGTTTATAAAATCATTGCCAAAATGGGAGAAGAAAGATTTTCGTGAAGTTTTTCTTGGAGCCAATCCTCAGGGTGAGTGGAACTAATTAATATTTATACCTAACGATTTATAAGTTACAAACTTAAAGATACATTATATAAGATTTAGATAAAGAACAGATTGTTCTTACTATAATAGTTATATTTAAGATACATTATGTAAGATTTAGATAAAGAACAGATTGTTCTTACTATAATAGTTATATTTAAGATACATTATGTAAGATTTAGATAAAGAGCTGGTCGTTCTCACTATATAATAGTTATATTTAAGATACATTATGTAAGATTTAGATAAAGAGCTGGTCATTCTCGCTATATAATAGTTATATTTAAGATACATTATGTAAGATTTAGATAAAGAGCTGGACGTTCTCGCTATATAATAGTTCAAAAATAGATAATGAAGAGGTAATATGTTGAAAATATCAGTTAAATTACTTCATTCTGAGTGTAGTTGTGACTGAAGAAGTCTTGATTGTCATTGCTGCCATTTTTGAAATAATAAACAAAGTCTTGATTATCCATTTTTATACTGCCACATTTTTCATCCGTTCATGCACATTTTGTTCATATCTTGATTTTTATCCGATTTGGATGAAACTTGAAATATCAGTTTATATCTCAAAGATTTTGGCCCGATCGATATTGTATTGGACCGTAACTTCATGGATTATTGCCCCTAATTGTACAAAACATCGTGTTTTAAGCTTGTGGCCCCAAGTTGTACGAAAAATCACATTCTTAGCTTGTTCTATGCCCAATTCTTGCAAGATGTGGTCGTATCTTGCATGGCAATAGCTTGTTTATGTTCTAGAGGGTTGATTATGGGCTTGACATGTGAATAAATGTCTAATTAATGATTTAGATAAAATAAAACCAAGTACGAACAATCCAAACCATTAGACAAAATTCGAAGTCCCAAAAAAACGGTATAGGCAAAATAGTGTAATAAGGCAAAATAGTGTAATCAGCAAATGGACTGTTCACCGTGTACAAAATACACGACAAACAGTGGTAACAGGTGTCCGGATGAGTAAGCTTGAGGCCAAACAAAAGATCTGCATTAGGCCGATTTAACTCTAGCATCTTTATTTATATTACCATTAGGGACGATCAGGCTAATTCGATATTTGACTAATATAGTACCAACAGTGATGAACCACAAATAGACAGGTGCTCTGTAATTAAACAAATTAACACTTTATGTGATCTTTAATCAGTGTGTCGCAGAAAGACCCTAGCTTATTCACCAGATAACATCTGTGTTGCCCAAGAAAGTTCCTCAGGATTTTCCTGTGTGTGTTTCCCCTTGTCAATCTCTTGTCCTGTTTACACATTGGCCTGCACGTAAAAGAACCCTTGACAGTTGGAATAGAGCGTAGTGCCACTGCCAGGGCAAATTCCTTTTGTAGCACATCAGCCCTGTTTCAGCTATTGATTTATTGATTATCCGTTTCAGCTATTAATGGATTATCTGTTTCAGCTATTGATTATCATCCGTTTCAGCTATTTTTTGATTGATTATCTGTTTTAGATATTTATTAATTGATTATCTGTTTCACCTATTTATTGATTGATTATCTGTTTTAGCTATTGATTGATTGATTATCTGTTTTAGCTATTGATTGATTGATTATCTGTTTCAGCCATTGATTTATTAGAAAAGATGTTAAAGTTGGATGTAAAGAAACGTATTACAACAGAGCAAGCACTGGCTCATCCTTACCTGGGTCAATATGCCGACCCTTCTGATGAACCTACCTCTGAACCTTACGATCAGTCTTTCGAAGAAATGAAACTCTCAGTACCTGAATGGAGAAGTAAGTTTATAATATATTGCTAGGTGAAAATGCTAGGTGAGGAGAATTCCGTGGCATTTCTGACTGTTCTTTATCGAAATTCCAATTACCAACGGTTCTGTTATGAGATCTCCCAATGTGTAAACGAATATACTAAATTTTTTATTCCCTGGTAAAACAACTTGAAATCCAACCTCATGGGTTTTCTCTGGGTCCTCGGGTTGCCTCCCACTGCTAAAGCCTCCTACGCGCAAGCGAATTATTGAAATAGAATTAAACCATGCTAGTCCCAAAATGACCGAGTTTGTGTCAAGTGGACGTAAAAACCCTTTTCTCTTTATCCCTCTCTCCGTCGAACGGATCGGTTATCCTCCAAATAATATCTACTTGACGTCTGTGAATATGGTATCCCTATAAAGCAGTATTATGTTAGATCTAAATCTGTCTATTGCAAGGCTTTCTTGCTTTGTATATTATATGAATTATTAATTAGACATTTATTCACACGACAAGCCTTTAATCAACACTCTAGACCATCGGATGGTCGCGATTTTCTATGGATTGAAATGTGATCAACATTTGATAATTTAATTTAAAAATGGATAATCGTGTCTTTGTTTATTATCGTAAACAGTCGTGCTTGACAATTAAGTCTTTATTGTGAGCCATTTAAGGCCGTACAACTTCGCTCAGAAACACGTAAATTGACTGAAATATATCTATTTTACATTATCTATTTTTGAACTATTATAGCAATAACGGCCAGCTCTTTATCTAAAGTCTTGAGACAAACAATTATATTGATTTTCAATGAATTTTGATATAAAAATATGTGACAACTCTTGTTGACTGCCCGGACGATTTAGCTGCTGTGGACGTATGTTTCATTGCCTGGCAACCTATCTTCATTATGTATTTTTGAACTATTGTAGCAAGAACGACCAGCTCTTTATCTAAATCTTACCGAATGTATCTGTAACCCATGACATGTTGTTTGTATTATAAGAGGTTTGTTTTTTTATATTTCCAGAGCTAGTTTATGATGTTATTACCAGCTTCGACGGACCTAAAAGACAATAAAACAAACATCAAGTTAATCATATTTTATTTTATATAGAAAAACCCAGCTTAAAAATCAAACATGTTTCATCTCTCTTCATTACATCATCATTCTCTAGTATCTCTTTCAAATTTAATATATCGTAAATAATATGTTTAAATTCGACCAGTCACGTTAATATAAAGATACAGATGATACACATCAAGAACTGAATGATTAGGGGCTGCTGAAGTCGTTATTATAGGGATTTTGAATACAATATCATGAACGTTGAATCTCTATTTTTTTTTTTTTAATTCTATGCACTATTCAAAATGATGAATTGGGCATCCTCTGTAGATATAAACAAACCAGAGCCACCTATTGGGTAAAAACTTTTGATAATCCTCTTTTTAATTTGATAAGAGTCCGATCCATTGATATTTTGATCTTGGTTTCTAATGTAAATGTTAAATAATCTATTTGAAAATATTTTTGCAATGGAAAATATGATATTGTCTGACAAATTTCGGTTCAGCGCCTTTTATGATATTGATTTGTTATACCCCTGTGTTCACATTCACGTCTGGGTGGGTTGGATTTAAACATCTGTGATTTCTGTATCAGCCATTTAAATTAAGACAAAGAAACTTATTATAATATTTTAAGATTAATTAAACAGCAAGGCCATAGGAGATGGAAACGAGGACTATAGAGGGATGTAAGCTCATCTGTATCTTATCATTAACCCGTTAAGTGCGTAGGTCGTTATATAACGTCCTGGACAACTGCCACTCACTGTGTGTAGGGCGTAATATAACGCCTTGGTTGGAAGTATTTTCCCCAACCTATTCTTCGAACATAGTACATAGTTCTTCGTCACTTCGTCAAATTAATTACACAATAGGGGGTAGTTAACGTTTTAAAAACGTCACGCTTAATGGGTTATGGACAAGCCAGAGATGTATGCACATCTGGCACTTGTCTTCGTGAAGAAGAGAGAAAAGTGTACGCTCATCTGTCGCTTTTTTTCGTGAAGAAGACAGAGATGTATTCTCATAAAAATCTCATCGTCTGCTGTAAACTATTACAGATGAGCGAGCGTGAAAAAAGGGTCTTGGCTCCCTCCAATAATTAAATTTTATGTTCCTCTCTTCTCATGTGCAGATTTCATCGTAAAATTTGCGATTTCCTTGATATAAACATGTGACCTATGTGCCCTAATGGAAGCAGCATATACTTATAGCTTCAGTAGCTATGTGGAAGCTTTTAATTTAGGTTAATGTGTGAAAAACAAATTGTCCAATTGATTACTACTGATGTATTGTTTTTCTTCGAGATGGAAATCGATCGTCGATGAAACGTGAGCTAGACATAATCAATTTCTTAACAGTGGCAAAATAATTTAACCCTGAACCAAAACTAACAAATCCTGCGCTGTTGATCAAAAACTAAATCAAATTTGTTTCCATGGAAACACTAAAATGATTAAATCTGAGATATTTGTGATTAGAAGGCAGTACTATTTGTAAGTTTTTTGAGATATTCTCTGGAAACAAAGTCTGGAATGAGAGAAGGCCGACATTTTAATATTCCTACCGTATCTTAATCGCAGGATAAAAAAAAAATCGGACAAAAGAATTTATTTGGACAGATTAAATTGGCTGTTCATTAAATGAACACATCAGATCTTGTCAAATCTGGATTTTGTTTTTTTCACACATTTAAAGCTACGTAGTTGTATCCAAGTATTCTGTATGTACTTAAATAATATTTCGCATTAGGTTTAAGATCAAAGCTTCATATTTTATATGGTAATATATAGATTTAGGATGTAATGTAATGCATAATAATACAAAAATAATTATCAGCTGAGCTGATTGTCTCTTGAGCCACTTAGGGAAATATACAATGAGCCACTTAAGAATAATCTGCTGAGCTGATTGTCCCTTGAGCCACTTAGGGCAATATACACTAGGGCATTGAGCCACTTAAGGGGGATATACACCAAGAATAATCTGCTGAGCTGATTGTCCCTTGAGCCACTTAGGGCAATATACACTAGGGCACTGAGCCACTTAAGGGGAGAAACACCAAGAATAATCTGCTGAGCTGATTGTCTCTTGTGCCACTTTAAGGGAAATGTACACTGGATTTGATCTGTTGAGCAGACATCATCTTGTGTAATTGGTAGTGCATGTGACGTTAACCATAGTCTGCTGTGTGCTTCGTAGTCAATCCACGCTGGAGTTTATCGTGTGCTACGTAGTCAATCCTCGCTGGAGTTTATCGTGTGCTATGTAGCCAATGCAAGCTGGAGTTTATCGTGTGCTACGTAGTCAATCCACATTGGAGTTTATCGTGTGCTACGTAGTCAATCCACACTGGAGTTTATCGTGTGCTATGTAGCCAATCCACGCTGGAGTTTATCGTGTGCTATGTAGCCAATCCACGCTGGAGTTTATCGTGTGCTACGTAGTCAATCCACACTGGAGTTTATCTGCTGAGTAGATTGTCCCTTACGACACTCAAGGGTAGCCCACACTAGAATTTATTTGCTAGGCTGATTGTTTCGTGTGGTACGTAAGAGCAGAGAAGACCATTGTTAATCTGCTGAGCAGATTGTCTCTTGGAATTTATTTGATTATTTTATATAATTAATTCTTGTTGTCATGGAAATGTAAATTAATTATAATTTTTTGCTGCTTTAAGTCTTTTACATTCATTTGTTCTTTGAATGATAATTCCATGCTTTGTTTTGTAATATTTATTTCTGATAAATGTAGTTTGATTATGAAACATTCTCAAGACAATGTTAATAATTTACTTCCTAATAGTAAACCAAGTGGTACCAGGGTGTTCTAGAAATAAAAACCTGACTCATGCATTGAACAGTGGTATCAGGGTGTTCTTTTCTAATAATGTTTACTTCATACTTCAGCCTTTTCTGAATATTGAAATAACTAAATGAAATTTGAGTAAATTGGTAATATTGTCTGAATGTTTCATCGTCATGCCGTCGGTATCTTGGTGTAACCATGGCCGTTAATCTATTATTACTTCCCTTAGTATAAAACCGATAAATATTATCATGTGACTGGTTTAGGCCAATCATAATTACTGTACAGACTGGCCCCACCCCTCTGCTGTGTTGATTTGTGTCAACATGTTTTTAGATTGGTACAGGTAGCAGATATCGGTATTGAAGTAAATTCTGTACAGAGACAGGCATCTCTCCTCCCTACGGTGTTTATGTCCAAATTGGTTGGGGAGATCAGATCGGTTGTTTTAAATAATTTCTATGAGGATAATTCATCTATTGCGATTTCTGGGTTATATAGTTAGAGTTACCCGGCCCTACACCTAACCCACAGGCTATATAACTCGGCGTGTGGGAATTTCGACCTCCCCAAACTGGACTATTGTTATTAATTTTAGTTACCATGGTTACACCACTCACCTAACTCTGTTATCAATTTTTGTTGTTTAGTGCTTCATAGTTTAAAGGCTGGTTGCTAAGCATGTATATATTTATTTTTATAGAAATAAAACTATGTTTTGTTTTTATTTTCATTTGACTACTGAATGCTTTTGTTTTTTTTTTGTTTTAACTTCTATTTTCATTTAGAATTTTATTTCTAATCATGGGTCGGCCATCTTTGATACTGTGTCACAGTACGTCTAACTCTTTATCGCTAACCTCTTGCACACTCAGCTCAAGAGCAGTATTCACAACACGAATGTTTTGTTCGTATATTGCGAGTTATAAGGGGTTAGGCCATACAGATTTAACCCCTTGTACACTCAGCTCAAGAGCAGTATTCACAACACGAATGTTTTGTTCGTATATTGCGAGTTATAAGGGGTTAGGCCATACAGATTTAACCCCTTGTACACTCAGCTCAAGAGCAGTATTCACAACACGAATGTTTTGTTCGTATATTGCGAGTTATAAGGGGTTAGGCCATACAGATTTAACCCCTTGTACACTCAGCTCAAGAGCAGTATTCACAACACGAATGTTTTGTTCGTATATTGCGAGTTATAAGGGGTTAGGCCATACAGATTTAACCCCTTGTACACTCAGCTCAAGAGCAGTATTCACAACACGAATGTTTTGTTCGTATATTGCGAGTTAAGGGGTTAGGTCATTTAGATTTCAATTTTTGTTCTTTTCGAAAAAAAAAAAAAAAAAATAGAAATTTAAAACACAAAAAGTGCTGCCCTTATCAAAAGTTTTCAGTACCAAATTTTGAAGTTTGTAATTTTAAACAAAACACTTTTCATATAACAGAAGTGGCTTATCAAGGCCTCTGAAAAACTAAAAATCACATTGGTAAGGCCTTTGCGGTTATCGGCAAGCAGCATGTATGACGTACTGACCCTATTCATTGAGTCAGGGTTATTGTCGTGTAGCATGTACTACGATGTTGTATCGTGGAATGACGACCCTATTCATTGAGTCAGGGTTATCGTCGTGCAGCATGTACTACGATGTTGTATCGTGGAGTGCCGACCCTATTCATTGATGTAGAAACTGCTGTAAAATATTTTACTTTGTATATAATATAGGCATTGCTCAATTATAGAATAATGACTGGGACTTCGTTACGCATCTTTCATCAATTATGCATAAATCCATATTAATTTTTATGAAGTTTTGAAATTTTTTGAAAATTAATCCATTAACACATTGTATGTGTAAATATTGACTACTTCTATTTCCTAAAAATATGAGAGAAAAACGAATAAGTTTTATTTTGAATTTCGTCGCTGTTTTCGAAACTACTCAAAGCTGCTATTTGGTATATTGACTCCAACTGTTTGAGTCACGGAACTGGTATAGCAAAATGATCTAAATTTGTGTTAACGAGCCATAAAACCCCATTCGGTTTCAGACGGTCATTATGATTGGTTGATATGATATTCGGTTTCAGACGGTCATTATGATTGGTGAATATGATATTAATAAGAGCCTTGTTATTAAAGGGAGAATGATTGGGTTTGTTTTTGCATCGTCATTTTGAAATGGAGGTGTTCGGGTCCCAGCAGTCCTATAGAGTTGGTTGCATCTATTTCACATGTATGCTTGCAGATTTCCCCAAGGTCATGAGATGTAAACAGGGTTAGGGCATGTGATTGTTGTCAAGGATTGTGGGTAAGGGCTAGGGTTATGGTTAAGGCTAGCCCTGTTTATAACTCGTGACTTATGACGTAATCTGCAGATGTTCATGGGAAATGTTAGCCCTAATCCTGTTTATAACTCGTGGCTTATGACGTAACCTGCAGGTGACCTTGTGAAATAGATGCAACCCTATGGAGTTGTAGTATAAATAATTGTATGTATATGAAAAATTATTAAAAAATATATATTATATGAGTGTTATCATATTGTAGTTGTATACAGAATAACAGATTATTAATTATATCATTGTTATAAACTATTACTCACTTATAATACAACTAAAACACGTATACTATTTCATTTCATAAGTTAAAGTTCAACCAGTACAGTGGTTGACATTATTGCACACGTCTTGTCAAACCTTCAAAGGCTAATATCTTTGCTCGCAATAGAGTAATTTGAATGAAATTTTCAAATTATTCATTTTACATTATCTATTTTTGAACTATTATAGCAAGAATGATCAGCTCTTTATCTAAATCTTACATAATGTATCTTTAATTCAATATAAACAGTAATTGTGGTGTCTGTTTATTACAAGTTAAGAACCAACCAATCAGATCTGTGCTTTTATAAATGGTTGTCGCCCAAACGCTGAATTCTGTTGATATTCTTAAGGCATTAAGCTGCAAGTTTGTGTTTTTAAGGTGAGTTGTATTAAGGCAAAGGTTTTAGGGACTCTGCTGACTAGTGGGTACGGATGTAGCGATACCCTGGGAAAGGCTTTAGAGACTCTGCTGACTAGTTGGTACGTATGTAGCGATACCCGGGGAAAGGCTTTAGAGACTCTGCTGACTAGTGGGTACGTATGCAGCGATACCCGGGGAAAGGCTTTAGAGACTCTGCTGAGTAGTGGGTACGGATGCAGCGATACCCTGGGAAAGGCTTTAGAGACTCTGCTGACTAGTGGGTACGGATGCAGCGATACCCTGGCGATTGTGATTAATCATGATTATTGGGTCAAGCGATTCAATAATCACCTCCTTTCTCAATAATCGCCGTATCACGACATATCTTGATTATTTTTTTAAAAATCGCAATTATGATTTGGGAGAATCAAATTTGGATTGTTTTTCATATTATCTTGGCCGAAGTCTCGTCAAAATGACAGTAGGATAGTAAAACATCTCATGTAAACAGTTTCAAGTTACCCCACTACATCTCATGTAAACAGTTTCTAGTTACCCCACTACATCTCATGTAAACAGTTTCTAGTTACCCCACTACAGCTCATGTAAACAGGCTCTGCCATTCTGTTAATCAACCTACTATGTCAATCAGGCTCTGCCACTCTGTTAATAAAGCTGCTATGTTCATCAGGCACTGCCAATCTGTTAATCAAGCTGTTACGTTAATGAAAACCTAGCATAAGGACATATTGTATTATATTATTATTGTAACGAATTTCTTTGTTATGACCTGTACGACATATGAAATGATAAAGCTCTGTTTACCCAAAACAATTTATTCTATAAAATTTATAAAATATATACCATTTTAATGCTCATTTCATTAACTTGTATATTTAAGACTTAGAAATAGAGATATAGCCTTGATTATTCCTGTCAATATTTTCTCAACTTTGACTATAAGTCTGGACGAAATAGAGGCCATTGTGTATATGTCAGCCACACAAGGTTGGCGCGTGCGCGTTGGAGGGTTGGATGGCCGAATGTTTAGCGCGTGCACGTTGGAGGGTTTGATGGCCGAATGGTTAGCGCGTGCAAGTTGTATCATAAAGTCTACCATTGAGTCAACTGGCATTGTTTCGATTCCCCAGTTATACATGACAAGGAGTACGGTCGCCCGTCCAACCTTGTGGGTTTTCTCTGGGTCCTCTGGTTTTCTCCCGCTGCTAAAAACCCCTACGCGCAAGCTAATTGTTGAAATAAAATTGAACCATATGTTAGTCCCGAAATGACCTAGTTTGTGTCTAGTGGCTGTTAAACCCCATTTCTTTCTCTCTCTCTCTCTCTAGAGATGATGAGCATGGTGAACCAATTACATCATTTCCTGTTTTAATATAAATGAATTACTCGCTTAGAATATATTTTTGCTTGTGTTATAGGAGTGATTATTTGTAAATATATATTTAAAATTTATAGAAAATCGTTGGTCCTCATCTTTAACTGATTGTTGGACTGTTTGTATCTACGGTTAACACAATGACTGATGGAAATGATGTCTCAATCAGACCAGTTAACAATGACTGATGGGAAATGCTGTCTCAATCGACCAGTTAACAATGCTTATTTCAAATAAAAACTTGAGAGAGAAAAAGAGAAATGGGGTTTAACGTCCACTCGACACAAACTAGGTCATTTTGGGACTAACATATGGTTCAATTTTATTTCCATAATTCGCTTGCGCGTAGGGGTCTTCAGCAGTGGGAGGAAAACGGAGGACCCGGAGAAAACCCACGAAGTTGGACAGGCGACCCTACTCCTTGTCACGTACAACCAGGGATTCGAAACCATGCCAGTCAACTCAATGACAGACTTTATGATATAGCACACACGTGCTAACCATTCAGCCATCCAACCCCCCAAAATAAAAACTTAAAGACATACGATAATGTTTATGTGACCTATAGACAAAGTTAGTGTTTGTTAGTCCAGACTCTATTCGTTGTAGTCAGAGTACTGATACAGTTGAGACTGGAATGATCAAGTCAATTTTAACGATTAGTTTAATATAAAAGCATATCATATTATTAGACATTTGGCATTTACACATCACAGATTTTCTGCCGATTTTTTATCACGTTGTCTTTCAACCATTGGCTTTGACTCTGTACTTTGTACATCAGATTCAAGTTACCAGTCAAATTACCTGTTGCACTCTTCATTTCACAACCTATTAGACTTGGTATGTTGTTCATCTAACCTGAGTTGCCAGTCAATTACCTGTACCGCCATGTAGTCCTGACTTGGTAACCAGTTTGATTCGGTAACTTTGCACATCTGTTTTGGTTTATAGTTTCGTAGGGTGACCTAATGATATATCACATGTGTTTTAGTTCAATAGGTCTTGTCATTGAGTCAACTGGCGTGGTTTCAATTCCCCGGATTGTGTGTGACGAGGAGTAGGGTCGCCTGTCTAACCTCGTGGGTTTTCTCCGGTTTCCTCCCACTGCTGGTGGGGAGGGGGGATGGATGGCCGAATGGTTAGCATGTGCACGTTGTATCATAAAGTCTGTCATTGAGTCAACTGGCGTGGTTTCAATTCTCTGGATTGTGTGTGACAAGGAGTAGGGTCGCCTGTCCAACCTCGTTGGTTTTCTCCAGGTTCCTCCCACTGTTAAAGACCGCTACGCACAGCGAATTATTGGAATAAAATGACCAATGTCGTTTATTTCTAAACAAAAAAGATACAGAGACAAACCGGTTACCGATTTGCACCGCGACAACAGTTAGCAAAATAATTGGAAAAGCGTGATTTAAGAAAATCTGTGTTTCTTCATACTGTTCATGTTGGTTTTGGAATGAATGCTTATATTATATTGTATTACCTGTAAAAAAACCATTTTTTTGTGCGTTTTTTTTAGTATATTTGCGAATCATCATGGCAGAAAGACAGTCCACCATGACATATCAGGGCTTTCTTTCAATTTAATACAATCATCCAGAATTCCTTGACGTTCTCTGACCTTCATCATTTCTTAAAGGGACAATAACACTCTTGCTGGCTTGACAGCTCCAGAAAATAAATAATAGCCTTATTCTAAGTATTAGATATTTATGTGTCCTACCTGTTGTGTAAATTATCCATTACATCCTATTTTACTTGTCCAGAGGGTTCGAAAATATTTTTAAATCCAAGTCACATTTGAAAAGGTTTACGTTAGGCTTTTCAAATCATTTAGTTGAATTTTTCTAATTTTTTAAATAAGGTGTGTTAAGATGAAATTTGTATCATCAATTAATTGGAATATTGTAAAATAGTACAATTTGTTAACCAGAATAAAGATTGGGACATATTATTCAGTTACAACAAGAGTGGTATTGAGCCTTTAACAGTACCTGATATTGTGCTTTAAGATTGGGGAGGTTGGATGGCCGAATGGTTAGCACATGCGTGCTGTATCATAAAGCCTGTCATTGAGTCAACTGGCGTGGTTTCGAATCCCCGGTTGTAAGTGACAAGGAGTAGGGTCGCCTGTCCAACCTCGTGGGTTTGTGTCGAGTGGACGTTAAACCCCATTTCTCTCTCTCTCTCTCGCTTTAAGAGCGTATTTTGATTGGTCGACTAATAATTCTAGATCAGTTTTAGGCAGATCGCTAAGCGAAATAGTGGGCCTTGTGTAGCGGAACCGGTAACCTATATTTGATAATCAGACTTCGATCACATGATATCCCACAAAGCTGATGATCGTAAAATGGCAAGCGTTATAAGACTTGTCTTAAATAACGCGAATTGAGCTAAAAATTCAGATTTTAGACCCCATTTCATTTATAAATAGGATTGTCATTGAGTCAACTGGTGTGATTTCGATTCCCCGGTTGTACGGACAAGGAGTAGGGTCGTCTGTCCAACCTCGTGGGTTTTCTCCGGGTCCTTCGGTTTCCTCCCACTGCTAATGACCCCTACGCGCAAGCGAATTATTGAAATAAAAAAATAAATAAACCATATGTTAGTCCCGAAATGACCTCTAAACATGCTCGTACAGCGACGCTAGTCTTCTTTTATATAGAATTCCAACCTCCAAGGGATCTTTTCCGGTCACACCAATGTGTACATGGGACTTCGGAATCGCGTTCATGTCAGCTACTCAAATATGTAACTGGTTCAAAAATTGATTGAATATTCAATGAGATATCGCCAATTTTCTGGTTTTGTGCACGTTAAAGATTTGACGTCATTGATATTAATTCCATGCTCAAACAACGTCATGCCTTTTATAATAGGTGCAATATTCGATACTACTGTACGATACTGTCATTGAGTCAACTGGCGCGGTTTCGATTCCCCGGTTGTACGTGACAAGGAGTAGGGTCGTCTGTCAAACCTGGTGGGTTTTCTCCTCCCACTGCTAAAGTGAATTATTGAAATAAAATTGAACCATGTGTTAGTCTCGAAATGACCTAGTTTGTGTCAAGTGGACATAAAACCCTATTTCATTTCGTTTATAAGCAGGATAGAATATAGTACCGTCAATCCTAAAGGGCAATCGGGTTCAGATTCTGTCTATATAAAACTGAATATTTTAGTCATTACATTGCTGTAGTCGTGATAATGACCCAGGTCCCAAGGAATCTTGTATTTTTGACTTATTTTAAAATTCGAAGAAGCTTAGTCCGTTCTCTTTCGATAACTAATCTAATAATGCTATTTTTGTCATGATGTTCGTCAATAGACTACCCACGTCTGTATATTTTGAACTAAGTGACCTTTTGAAATGCTGCTATGGATTGACCTCAGATTGCACCCCCCCCCCCCCCGGTTGAATAGGGCTGTTTTAAATTTGCACAAAAAGGGAAGTTTGAAGTTTTAAAAAGAAAAAAGTTGTTCCGATGGCACTGTTCTCACTTAATGTCCTCTTCACCGCACATGTAATATTATATTATAAATATTATATATCTATAAAAAATAAAAAATTATTTGTCTTGTTTCCAAAGTTTATTTATTTATATTTTACGGTAATCAAATGATATGCACTGTTTGTTTCATCATTTTCTTTTCAATCCATTTTAATTTACGGTAATTACAAGTTATCGCCTTGAAAAAAAGGAAGGCGTTGATAAAAATGTGCAAGCTGTGTAGTTGTCTATCTCCAGACCGTTCGGGTGATCATTAGATTGTAATGGTTTAGATTCCCTGCTTGTACGTCACTAGGTGTAGGGGTTGCCTATCTAATTCCATGGGTTTTATTATTTGGGGAGGTGGATGGCCGAATGGTTAGCACGTGCGTGCTGTATCATAAGGTCTATCATTGAGTCAACTGGCAGGGTTTCCATTCCCTGGTTGCATGTGACAAGGAGTAAGGTCGCCTCTCCGACCTCGTGGGTTTTCTCCGGTTTCCTCCCACTGCTAAAGACCCCTACGCGCAAGCGAATTATGGAAATAAAATTGAACCATGTTAGTCCCGAAATGACCTAGTTTGTGTTGAGTGGACATTTAACCCCATTTCTCTCTATCTCTCTGTTTATTATTTATAAACTCAATGTCAAGTTTACTTTTAAGGTTGTTTGCGTTGTGAATATGAATTGTAACATGGGCTAGAATTTAAAGTTCGAATCTGGTACATGTACATGTAATTACAGTAAATAGTGGAAGGAGATTAGAAACGTTTATTTCGTTGGTACATAATTCAGGCTTCTAGTTAGTCTCTATCATCCAAAAAAATATTAGTCTGGATGACTAGGATGTTCTGGGTGACTGAGACTAGCTTCTAATTAGGCTTTTATTAAGGAGGTCTAAGATTATGACACAGTTTTCACAACGTGTATTCAGCATGGTTATATTAACAGGTGTCTTATTCATTCACAAAATTTTTAACTAAAATATTTTAAGAATACTTTCTTTTCATTGGCTAAGAGCGTTAAGCTGTGCTAGGATTTTAATCAATGAAAAGGCAGCAAGGCGCTTGGATGGGATGAAACAACTAGGTCCAGTGTAAAAGATCCCTTGGCAGTTGGAATTCGATATAAGAGTGGGTCGTAACGGCGCTGTCCTGGCAAAATTCCCCTCATAGCACACTGCATGGCATATGCCCGTATTCATTAGCCCAGTCGGAGCAGAACTTTAAAACACCTTTTCATTTCATTTCTTTAGAATAGTTGAAGTTTTTTGTGAAAAGGTTCTTGGACTGTTGTATTTTTATGTCACGATGTAATTTAAGCAATATTGATATAGAAAATCCACATTTTCACCAACCATTGGGATCCTTACTCAAAATAACTTATAACTAATATATTGTACGAATTCAGCCGTTTCATTGGTTGAGGGTTCAACTCCTAATTCAAAATTTAACTTTTGACCAATGGAAAGGCTGATTCCTAAAAATATATTTGGTTAAATTATCATGAATAAGGCCCTGGACTTTTTGAAGATTTATATTTCATTTCACAATTATGTTCATCGTTGATTACAATTTTTAAAAAATGTCATTTAATAAATGAACAAAAAACTGATAGTTGAATTATTTCACATTTTTCATTCAATATTTTTTAACTATTTGTCATTTTCTCCTTCAGAAAAAAGAGAAAACAAAAAACAAAAAACAAAAAAAACAATCATTAAAGATAGATTCAAACCCATTGAGTGGTTTGTTATATTCATACATAGCACTGTGTTCATTAGTCCAGCCTGGAGGTCGGGTGTTCGATCCCTGCATTGGCCGAAAAAGTTCATCCAGATTTTCCAGCGGATTCCTCCTTGTCAGTGATGCAGGATGGAGGGCCTGACAAGACGAAAAACCGAGGTCCCGTGTATACATTGGAATGCACGTAAAAGATCCCTTGGCAGTTGGAATTCGATATAAGAGTAGGCGATAGCACATAGCACACTGTATGGCGTATGCCTGTCTTCATTAGCCCAGTATAGGAGCAGAACAGTAGGACGTTAAACCCCATTTCATTTGTCCAGTTCCAGCCATGTTCCTGAAGCAACGACTGCGAGTTTTACAACATCTGGAGTTTTACAACATCTGGACGTTGCTTGTTTATAGCTATGTTACCTACAGACACGTGAGCAGAAGCGTCCAATCAGAGGTTGTGAAATCGCGACCTCGACGGATGTCTAGTCATTCGGATAGGATGGAAAACCAAGGTCCCGTGTACACATTGGCGTGCACGTAAAAGATCCCTTGGCAGTTAGAATTTGATATAAAATTAGGCCATAGCGCAAAATGTACCTCATAACATACTGTATGGCGTATGTTAAAACCTAGTTCATTTCCAGGGAGGTTGGATGGCCGAATGGTTAGCACTGTCGCCTTTTTCGATTCCCCAGTTGTACGTGACAAGGATTAGGGTCGTCTGTACAACCTCCTGGGTTTTCTCCGGGTCCTCTGGTTTCCTCCCACTGCTAAAGACCCCTACGTGCAAGTGAATTATTGAAATAAAATTGAACCATGTTAGTCCCAAAATGACCTAGTCTGTGTTGAGGGGACGTTAAACCCCACTTCTCTCTCTCCCATCTTTCAAGTCACTAGTTGCCACGACAGTCGAGTCTCAAGTTGTGTCGCAAGTTGGGACATTGATGTGAATTAAGTCGGACTCGAGTCAGAGTTAAGAGTTCCCACCTCTGCCATTCTATTTATACTAGACACAACTAATAAATAACTAGATCAATATCAGTAAGAAAGATGCTGGCTTGGTCCTGGTGGTGCTCGAGAAATTATCCTTGTCAGTGGTGTAGACCAGGGGGTAGCATGGACAGTGTCTAGTCGTATGGATGGGACTAAAACCCTAGAACCTGTGTACACATTGGCGTGCACGTAAAAGAACCCTTGACAGTTGGAATTTGATATAATAGTAGCCTGTAGCGCCGCTGTCTGGGCAAAATTTCTCTCATAGCTCACCCCATGGAGTTAGCTCGTCTTCATTAGCCCAGTCATAGCAGAACAGTAGGACGTTATACTCCATTTTATTTCAATTTTGTTTAACTTAAATATAGATCAAAATTTTGCTTCGCTTTTTCATACTTTAAATGGCCTACACTACATGAAGATCTGACCAGTTGTACTGGGAGGTTGCGTCAGCAGCTTTTGACCCTATGACGTCAGACATTGATGAATCAATTAGCGTTGACGTTTCTAGGGGTTTACCCACAATGGCCTACACTACATGAAGATCTGACCAGTTGTACTGGGAGGTTGCGTCAGCAGTTTTTGACCCTATGACGTCAGACATTGGTGAATCAATCAGCGTTGACGTTTCTAGGGGTTTACCCACAATTCCGTGCAGAGAATGCAAGAAGTCACCGTAACAGACCGTTTCATTGGCTAATCCCTCACATCAACCATAATGCTGGTTATATAACAACTCTTCCAGATCCAAGTGTAGTTAAGACAAGTAAAACGAAATTTTGAACTATAAAAAAATGAAACAAAATAGGACCTTTAATCAGATTGAAAAATCATCTGCTTGCGGGGAGCTGCACCTCCTATCTTTGTGCTACTGCCTATGATGGCCGTAAGCTCGATAAAGAAAATACATTCAAACCATAAAATTTCTTTATTCAGTCCATCATAGGATTTATAAATAAACCTTGTACATAGCGGTATTGAAACGCGTCACCGTCCCTTTAAGTTTAACTTGAAACTGCAGCCATGCCGTTACCAATAGCCGATGTCTTGTTTACCGTTAGCCTTTCACAGAGACACGACGAATTGAGACCTTAAACTAGCAGTTTATACAGTTTACCGTCAACACTCAATTTCCTGGAATGTCCGTTCACCGTGTGACATAACTATTGAGTATCCATAGGGAAACTTTAACGTTAAAACGTTGACAACGGTTTCAAATAGTTTGAGACCGCTTTTTACTCGCCATCTTTCATTTGCACGCTTTTTTGCACACTTCCCGCTTGCTTACATCATCCGTTATAATAAAGAGAGTTCCCCCCCCCCCCTTTAACCGTTAATTGCGATAAAAACAAACCAAAAATGTAAACAGTTCGGCTGCGGCCACACTGCCCTTCCCCAAATGATTTTTCCAGAAATTATCAGTCACCATATACATACCTGTGTCTAAATTAGTTTTTATTTCATTTCAATAAAGTATCTGAGAAACGATGCATCACATAACGTGGTTGTTTCGAGTAATATTTAAACAATAATAAATACTCTACCATTTATAGTCTATATACAACTTATTTCATTGGACAAGATTTTATAATTTATCATTTCATAATTAATAACTAAGATAATCTTTAACTCATTTAAACATGCATTATGGCAAGAGCTAAATCTACCTATTGCAGGTCTTTATTTAGGCCTTAAATGTTGTCTAAACTATTAATTAGACATTTATTAACAAAACAAGAGCATAATCAATTCTAGATGGCATCGGATACTCAAGATTTTAACTAGATTAGAATGGTTCACCATTTAAAAATTAAATTCAAAAATGGGAAAGCAAGGCTAAGTCTTGAATATTCCAGTGCCCAATTTACCACAATACACACATCTTGTCAAAACTACAAACAGTGATAACTTTGCTCAGAATAAAGTAATTTGAATGAAATTTTCAATATTTTCATTTTACATTATCTATTTTTGAACTTTTATAGCAAGAACTGCCAGCTCTTTATCTAAATCTTACATAATGTATAAAGAGCATCCTTGGTATCCTCAGTGGTCTCATTCCGTTCCACTCCATTATACCCTGGGGTTCATCCATGAGGAGACACATATTCAAATTATTTGCCCTTGATGATTAAGCTACTTTTATCAACCAATCAAAAAAATTGTTTATTACTTAAAAACCGACATAAAAACATCTTTTCCACCAAAAATATGTTTTAGGACATCTTTTTGTGTAGATATCACGTTTTTTATATTAAATTTCTTGAAGACTTTCTCATTATCGAGTGAACAAGTTGCCATATTGTTGTGAACGTAAGCAATGAGCCTCAAACTGGTTAGTAAACTATTTTTTGATTGGTTCGTACAATCTAGCTACGACCAAGGACAGATAATTTGAATACGAGATTGCCCATTTGATGTATAAAGATTGGGGGCCTGTTTCACGAAATTTTAACTAAGATAAAGTCCAAATTTTAGTAATTTGATTGGATGATATTAGATTAAATTTAGTGCTTAGTCAATCAAAATTGAAGTATCTACTAAAATTTGGATTTTATCTTTAGTTAAGATTTCGAGAAACAGGCCCCTGGTTGTTCTTGCTATGAATAAATGTCTAAATAATAATTTAAATAACATTTAAAGCCAAAATAAAAACCTGCAATGGGCAGATTTAGCTCTGACATAATGTACCTTTAATATCAAAAACCAAAACAAGAGATTTGCAAGAGTGTGAGGTCGATAAATTACATTTTGACCTCCCGGCTGATCAAGAGGTTTGCAAGAGCGCGCATCCAATCGGTAAATTACATTATGACCTCACGGACACAATTAATAACATCATGAAATCTTTACACACAAATAAAAGTTCTAATAACCTGCACTGTGAAAATCATGTCAACAAATTTATGGCGGGCCTAATTAATTTTATCTTGAAATAAATGCTTACATTCTATGTTGAATTGACCTAATTAATTTTATTAGGAAGTAATTATGAATAATTCATCGTGGGATGACCTAATTAATTATCCAATATCTTAACAATCATTCAAAAAATAACTAAAAAATCTGAAAGCTAAACACATCGGCCGTCCAAGACTCGAGGTATGGTAGTAATAGACAAGGTAACTCATCTCTCCATGGACCCTCCATGACTTGAGGTATCATCTCTCCATGGACCCTCCATGTCTTGAGGTATCATCTCTCCATGGGCCCTCCATGACTTGAGGTATCATCTCTCCATGGACCCTCCATGTCTTGAGGTATCATCTCTCCATGGACCCTCCATGACTTGAGGTATCATCTCTCCATGGGCCCTCCATGACTTGAGGTATCATCTCTCCATGGGCCCTCCATGACTTGAGGTATCATCTTTCCATGGACCCTCCATGACTTGAGGTATCATCTCTCCATGGGCCCTCCATGACTTGAGGTATCATCTCTCCATGGGCCCTCCATGACTTGAGGTATCATCTCTCCATGGGCCCTCCATGACTTGAGGTATCATCTTTCCATGGACCCTCCATGACTTGAGGTATCATCTTTCCATGGAACGTCCATGACTCAAGGCAGTAATAGACAAGGTATGGTTGGTTGTGTTTAGATAGTCTAGCTAGCTTTTACCTAAACCTGTGTTATATGTTGAACTGTAAGTTGCTATGACAATACTCTACTCTATTACCAATAAATAATAATAATTTAACCAACAAATAAAACACAGCAAGTATAAATATCATCATATTTTCATTAACCATTTTGGGAATTGTTTACTGATGGGTTTAAAGGCCCAGTATACAAGAGTAGTGATTTTCGAGCTATTGACACACGTGCACCTGATTACAGGAAGTAGATCCATAAATAAACTTTAATTTATCCAGAAATGTGGCATAGGCTCAATTATCAAGTACACAGCACTGATAAGTTTTAATGACAATCATAAATGGTACTGGATAATCATACATTCTTAAAAAGAGTCATTTTGTAAGTGACACAGGATTATCCGATAACCAAAGTATTTTTTTTTTGATACAGTCTTTTATTATGTTTATGGTTAAATTCTTTGAAGTTCTAATATTATGGCGGGGGTATGTGTGTGTGTGTGTGTCATTGAGTCAAATGGTGTGGTATCGATTCCCCGCCGCTAAAGACCCCAATGCGCAAGTGAGTTAATGAAATAAAATTGAACAATATGTTAGTTTTTTCCGGGTCCTCCGATTTCCTCCAAATGCTAAAGAGCCCAATGCGCAAGCAAGTTAATAAAATAAAATTGAACAATATGTTAGTTTTGAAAATTTAACAATTGCAGGTACTATTATGGATATATGACTGATTTTCTCCATTCAAGCCAATTTGTCAGGTGAATTGTTATATTAGTGTTTCCACGCTAACTGTTTTTACACTCTATGATTATCGATATTGTCAGAGTTTTACCCTGGCCCTACGAAAACAAGAAATATTTTTTTTTTTTTTAAAAAAACACAGTTATCACATTACAATATTTGCTAAAAATTTTTTTTGCTAAAATTAAGTTTTCTTTTAACATCAAGTTTTTTTCGGTGGTAGGAAATGTTCTCGTAATATGGGTCGATTCTTTAAGTCAGTGACTGACGTGATGACAGCTTTACAGAAAAAACATTCCTTCTTCGTCATCAGTTGCTGGGTGATACACGTCCTGAAACAAGACAGAATACATTGATCTTGAAGTTATTTGTAACTGAACAGGTGGTGGCTCACTAATCAGGGGCCTATTTCTCGAAATCTTAACTAAAGATAAAATCAAATTTTTAGTAGATACTTCAATTTTAATTGGCTAAGCACTAAAATCAATCTAATATTATCCAATCAAATTACTAAAATTTGGATTTATCTTAGATAAAATTTCGTGAAACAGGCCCCAGATTTCTTGTAAGATTGATGAGAACACGAAACAAAGATGGCCGTCCGTAGATTACTACTTACCTACAAGATTGATGAGAACACGGAACAAAGACGGCTGTACGTAGATTAGCGTAGCATATTGTACATAAATCATCTTCTTTAATATCCTAAAAAATATAGCATGACTATATCACATATAACATTAAATATAACATGACTATATCACATATAACATTAAATATAACATGACTATATCACATATAACATTAAATATAACATGACTATATTATCACATATAACATTAAATATAACATGACTATATCACATATCACATTAAATATATTCATTTGGGGGGGGGGGGGGAAATGGCCGAATGGTTAGGGTTTGCGCGCTGTATCTTAAGGTCTGTCAATCAGTCAACTGGTGGACAGTTGCTCAGTTAGTAAGGTCCCGATTCACTAATCAGGCCCTGGCAAGATACGAGAGAGAGAGAGAGAGAGAGAAAGAGAGAGAGAGAGAGAGAGAGAATGAAATGGGATTTAACGTCCACTCACACAAACTAGGTCATTTCGGGACTAACACATGGTTCAATTTTATTTCAATAATTCGCTTGCGTGTAGGGTTCTTGAGCAGTGGGAGGAAACCGGAGGACCCGGAGAAAACCCATGAGGCTGGACAAGCACTCTTCTCCATGTGACGTACAACCGGGGATTCGAAACCACGCCAGTTGACTCAATGACAGACTTTATGATACAGAACGCGCACGCTAACCATTCAGTCATCCCCCCCCCCCCCCTGGCAAGATACAACATCTAGACCTTAGAATGGGATGAAATAACAAGGTCCTGTCGACATGTTTATGGAATGCTCACAAAAGGACCCTTGTCAAGACCCTTCCCACGACCCCACCCCTGTCATGAATTTGTAAATTTCTGTAAGAGTTTCTGTGTTTTTGGAAACAATAATAATTACCTGAGCTTGTTTTGACATGATGATTTGTTGCTTTTTTAAATAAATGATTAAATTCTCGACATCTTGTATCTCTTCACTACCTATCTCTTCAACTATAAATAACAAATATACACATCGCTATGACAATAGATTGATAAATAACAAATATACAGATTGATCAATAACAAATATACAGATTGATCAATAACAAATATACAGATTGATCAATAACAAATATACACATCATCACCATGACATCATCGGGTTGATAAATAACAACGATGTCAGCTAGTTTTGGGACTAACATTATAATTCAATAATGTGCTTGCTAGGGATCTTTGGAAGTGGGAGGAAACCAGAGGACCTGAACAAACCCACAAGGTTGGACAGGTGACTCCACTCCTTGTCATGTAAAAGTTTGGACCACTTGACTCCATAACATTATGATCTAAACACTACTCCCTATGCCCCGTCTCATTTGGTGCTCAATTGAATTTTCAAGTAAGTTTGAAATATATATAAATATACATGAAAGTAAAATATATCGTTAGAATGTACAAAACATACTGTTTAGGTCTATATACTAAACATGCATTAAATATGATTTAGATAAAGAGAGAGAGAGAGAGAGAGCAGGGCTGTCGGTAATTTTTCACAGTTGATTAGCAGCACTGCTAATCAAAAAGTCCAATTTCGCCAAATTTGATTAGCAAATTTAAAAATTGATTAGCAGTTTTTCAGTTTCAATGTAAAACACCTAAATAACAAGATATTACTTTAATTCATAACAAATATGATTAGATTCCATTCTGACTATTCTTAGATTTTTTAGCACTGCCACAAGTACTTGTGACAGTTTGTGAATGTGATGTAGAAATTTAGTTAGGTCTTATGTCTGAAGCCAATTCTTGACAGTGACTTCCGAAGCCCCACTCATTTTAATTGTTATTTTTTTGTTACGTTAGAAATCTTCGTTAGAAAACAATTTCGTCTGCTTTTTATCGTGTATTACTATTTTTCTTCAATCGGACACACCTCGATTAACTAGACACACACGATATAAACAATAATGTTTTACGGGAATTTTTACTTTGATTTATCATTTTACAATACGTTAACATGTATTTATTTTTTTATATTTTATTTACAATTCGTGGGGGATACATTGGATTTATTTCTTTCAAAATGAATATGATATAATTACTTGATGTCTCGCAACGTGAGTGGTACTACTTGATTCCCTATTTCCGGTTTAATAGTCCCTATTCATAGAGTTATGTGTTATATAGTATTGTGTCTGGTAGTTCGAGAAGAAAATGTCACACGGAGAATTCAGTTTTGTTTATAAAATTTTATTCAACATTTTATACACGTTGAAAGTGTTGAGTAAGCCTTCTAGTCTTCAAAATGTGGATTATTCTTGTGTCAATATCCAAAATGACAGGCATATTGATGATTCGCAGTAACTGCGAATCAAAAACGTTAGATTTTAATTTTTGGTTAGCAACGGACAAAATATGTATCGCAAATTGCGCTGCGATACTGGTTGTCGGCAGCCCTGAGAGAGAGAGAGAGAGAGAGAGAGAGAGAGAAATGGGGTTTAACGTCCACTCAACACAAACTAGGTCATTTCAGGACTAACACATGGTTCAATTTTAGGGTTCTTTAGCAGTGGGAGGAAACCAGAGGACCCGGAGAAAACCAACGAGGTTGGACAGGCGACCCTATTCCTTGTCACATACAACCGGGGATTCGAAACCACGGCAGTTGACTCAATGACAGGCCTTATGCAAGGCTGGAAATAACTTTCAATTGTCTGTCTGACACCATGTCAGGCATGATGAACATTCTGCCTGACATTTCAAATTTTCGGTCGGACATGATGTTCTGACATTTGGCACAAAGTCTATTCTGTTGACTAATGGGTGACTGGGTGTTGTGACATCTTGTGTATAAAGATTAAGATTGAAAACAAACAACAAAATCAACTAACGTAGCTTTGGTCAGCTTACGTTTGTTCGATGAAATTGGTACCTCATCAATCTCTATCGGAACTTTGTTGTCCATGGGTCGTCCGTGTGTGTCTGATAAACTGGATGTTGATGATGTGGAAAAAAAATTAGTAATTTTGCAAGACATGCCAGCGACTGCACTGTTATTGTCAGTGTCTATGATACAAATCAGTGCCAAGTGGATTATCAGAGCGTGACATCATAGAACTATGGTGACATACAGAGGGAACACAATGGCAACGAAATGTTTATAGAAACAACTATTTCCGGTTAATACAATATCGCGACGCAGATCTGATCAATTGCAATTTGACCCAAGTGTCACCTCTAATTATGTCAGTCACCTTTGCACAACTGAGTTATAACATAGAACTAATATTTAGTTCTATGGTTATAAATACTTGTGAATTATTGTATAAGTAAAGAAAACAGAAGTTTGATAAAGTAAATAATTATAGATAAATAACGATAGAATAGGGCGACTCCCTACGTGTATAATCTTGATTCTGATTTTAGACGAGCTATTTTGGTTCTTGATAAAATATATTACTAGTCTCGATTGTGTTTACAAGAGAAAAACACATAAAACTGTGGCCAATATATTTTCAACATTATAAACTGTCGCGATGATGTACAGACACATCTTATTTATAACATTGTACCCGTTGGTTGTTAGTATCATTGGAAACTGCAAGAGAAAAATCACAAAACACAACCACTTGGAAATTCTATACAGAAATTACAAAAACTTTGATGATTCTAATTTTATTAATGATCTTGCTAAAATTCCATTTGAACTAGTCGAGTCAATTGATGACCCAACTTCTGCCCTTGATACTTTGTATAACCTTTTTATAGGTGTTTTAGACTGCCATGCTCCGCAAAAGCGAAAAAGAGTAAAAAGATACTATCAACCGAAGTGGTTTAATGAGGAAATAAATAAAGCCCGAAAGTTCAGGGACTTCTTTAAAGCCTCCAAGAGGTGTGACGACTATAGAATATGGAGAAATAAAACCAAAAATCTCATTAATAAAGCCCAAAAAAAACTTTATCAAGGACTCTATCGAAAATGAAGAGCAATCTAAAAACATATGGAGATATTTTAGTGACATACAGAATAAACCCAATAATTGCCCTTATCCCAATAGTATTAAATATGGAAAAACAACAGTTAATGATCTAAATGCTATTGCTAATGTGATGAATGATTACTTCACTAATTTAACTGATGACATTAAGCCCCCCTATACACCACTTTCTCAAGAGTGCAAACGAAAGATATCAGATTACGTAAATGATAAGATTCCCCCAAATAACAACTTTTCTATTAATTGTATTACTACCACAGAGGTATTAAAACATTTATTGAGTTTAAATAGTAACAAAGCCATTGGGTGTGATGGTATTGGACCCAAAATTTTAAAATTGTCTGCGTATACAATTTGTAGCAGTTTGACATATATCATTAATCTTTGTATTTCTCAAAACATGTTCCCCAGTGCCCTTAAACTGGCTAAAATTATTCCTATACATAAGAAGGGAGCTAAAGATGATCCGAACAATTATAGGCAAATCTCAATTCTCCCCACAATTTCAAAAATATTCGAAAGGCACTTGAGCACTCAAATTCAAACTTATTTGGAAACCTTCAATGTTCTTTATGCTTACCAATCTGGATTTAGATCAAATCATTCATGTGCCACTGCACTGATCCGAATGACAGATAATTGGCTTGATGCTATCGATAATGGTGCGATGAGTGGTATAGTGTATCTTGATTTTAGCAAAGCATTTGATCTCATTGATCATAAGCTTATTATTGAAAAACTACATCTTTATCGATTTGATAATAATTCACAAATTTTGATTGAATCATATCTTGACTCACGGAAGCAAAAAGTATGTTTAGGATCAATTACCTCCTCAATTACTACAGTCAAATGCGGGGTTCCACAAGGTTCGATCCTGGGTCCTCTCCTATTCCTAATTTTTATAAATGATCTCCCACTCAATATTGAATCAAGTCAGATAGATTTGTTTGCTGATGACAGTACCCTGCATTGTTCACACAAAGATATTTTATCCATCGCCAAAAATCTCCAAAATGATCTCTATTTGGTTGCTAAATGGTGTGAAAACAATGGGATGGTAATCAATCCTTCGAAAACAAAATCAATGCTGATTTCAACAAAACAGAAAAGAAATCAGAAAAACCTAACTTTATCACTCCATGGTGAGAAAATTGAGACGGTTACTACCGCAAAATTACTTGGAATTCAAATTGACCAAGACCTTAATTGGGAAGCACAGATAGCAGATATGTCTAAAAAACTTGCATCAAAAATATTTCTCCTAAATAAGATAAAAGATCATTTACCTTACGAGACAAGAATTTTGTTTTATAACAGTTACATACTACCAATATTTGATTATTGCTCTACTATTTGGGGAAATGCTACCAAAAGTAGATTAGACATTCTTTTAAAATTACAAAAGAGGGCAGCAAGAGCTATTCTTGATGCACCGATTGAAACTCCGTCCACCTCTTTATTTACTAAACTCGGTTGGCTTACCCTTACACAGAGGATTCTTTACAATAAAATTGTCTTATCATTCAAAATTATTACATTTAATACTCCACTTTATCTAAATTTCCATTTTATTGAAAAATCTCTTGTTTCCAAAACGGATATCTTGCTCCGTTCACAGACCAGTAAATCTTTTTCTTCAAAAATGCAAAACGGAATCCATGAAACGTACTTTTCATTATTCTGCATGTCTTTTATGGAACAATCTGCCTTTTGATATAAAGATGTGTAAAAATGTTGAAAATTTTAAGATTAAACTGAAAACTCATTTATTTTGCACACTGAAGGAACCATAATATTCAACTGATGACATACTTATTATTTTTAACTTGCAACTGCATTCTATTTTATTTTGTGTGTAATTATAGTGTTCTTCCTATATTCTACTTGTATAATGTATATGTTTTGTAGTTTGGGAGTGACTTATCAAACTTCCCACTTTAAAATGCTATTGCATTTCTAATGATTTTAAATTTATCCTGATATTACATGTATATATGTCTTTGTAGTTTAGGAGGGACCTATGGAAGATTAGTTTTTTTTTTGCAAACTAAATACGTTGCCTCATTAAATAAAGTTTTTATTATTATTATTATTATTATTATTGAACTACTCTCACGCCAACCTTATGATCTTATCTATGTCAGGAATGGAAATCCGAGACTACGGCCATTGCCGCAAGCTCACATGGTTTCTTCAGTTTGCTAGACTGACATTTTTTTACACAAAAAAAGTAATACTATGGATTTTTACTTGGATACTTTTATGTGTATTTTCCTTTTGTGAGTTTTGACATGTACGTATAGGCTAGAATATAGAGCTACGATAGCAGGTAAAGTTAGAACTTGCTGAGAAGTGGTCAACTTTTATTTTCCAAAAATGGCGAAAATCTCCGATAAATTTTCGCACAGACAAAATGACAGATCGTTAATAAGTTTCACCTGACAAATTGTGAAATTCAACCGGACCATGTCCGTGTCCGACCAGTTATTTCCAGCACTGGCCTTATGATTCAGCACGCATGTGCTAATCATTCGGCCATCCAACCCCGCTTTAGATAAGAAGCTGGCAGTTTTTGCTATAAAGATACATTATGTGAGATTTAGATAAAGAGCTGACCATTCTCGCTATAATAGTTCATAAATAGATAATGAAAAATGAATATATTGAACATTTAATTTAAATTACTTTATTCTCGGCCAAGTTATGAGTGTTTGAAGTTGTAACCTGGATTGTTTATTATCTTAGCAACGGTACTTGACAACTGAGTCACGATTATCCATTCTATCGTTAAATTTAAATCTATGTCTAAATAATAGTTTAAGCCAGTTAAAAGTAAACTTACAATTTTTAAAAGAAAATGGTTTGTTAAATTTACTAGTAGAAGATCTTTCTTCGACAGTAAAAACAAACTCGAGCGATTTTATCATAAATCCAGCATCTGTCAGCAAGGCACGTGTTGCTCTTTCTTGACTGTTTATAGAAAAAAAATAAACATATTTACATATATCACTGGTGATTATAGGTAACGACCATGCACTGTAACATGGGTAATATTTAATCTTCTTTCACATTTGTTTAATATCAAATCTTTGTTTAAAAGTTAGTAAAAATTGTTTAAAATCACCCAAAATCCTCCACTTATAGCTGACCATTCAATTTTGATAATGAGTGTTCAATTTACAAGCATTTAATTTCCCCGATCACTGTTAAAAAATAAACAACCCAATTTTTAACAGTGATCGAGAAATTAAATGATTTTTACAAATTTTTAAACAAAGATTTGATATTGAATCGATGTGAAAGAAATTGGTGATAAATACACAAGATTAAATAATACTTGGATTCCATGTTATAGCTCATGGAGGTGCTTGGATGTTAGTCAAGGTGAGCTTTTCATCGTCAGTTGTCTAAATTGACTTTCTTCAATAAAAATAAGTATGAAAGAATATAAGATAAAAGTTGTATTACCTGGTTCCACCTGATCTACCTATTAACTGAACTAAAATACCAACCGTTACAGTTAATATAGGAAAATATGTTACACTATCTAAACCTGTAAATATACACACACAGTTACAGTTACAATATGTTACAGTTACAATATCTAACCCTGTAAAATAGAGTGAGACAGACTTCCACTGGATAAAACTAGGCTATATTGGGACTAACATATGGTTTAATTTTATTTCAATAATTTGTGCGTAGGGGTCTTTAGCAGTGGGAGGAAACCGGACGAACCGGAGAATACCAACGAGGTTGGACAGATGACCCTACTCCTTTTCAAGGAATCGGAATCATGTTACTTGACTCAATGGATAGACTGTATGATACAACGAAAACCTCCCGAGTAAAATAGTTTCAGTTACAACAAATGGTTGCCATGCAACATAACCCCACATTTTGCAAAAGATGGACAGAGAACAAGCTAAAAACGTGTTTTTTTGTACAATCAGGGGCCATAATACATGCCAATATCTAAAGGAACCAAGATCTTTGGGATATAAACCTATATTTCAAGTTTCGTCAAAATCGGACAAAAATTGAAACCTGTAGAGTGTCCACAAACAAAATGTGAACAGACAGACATCAGGACGTGGGTGTATAAAAATTGTAATGGTTACCTGGTATGGGTAAAGGTGAGAGATTTTCAAATGCTCCGTTTTTAGTTGTTATTCGACTCAACACCTGACTAAGAAGCTGAAAGATATAAATCTCATTTGATTAAACGGGAACAGGGATAGACCCAAGTACACTTATTAAATATCCTAGTCAAAACAATATTACAACCAGGGATTTTAATCGGTTGATTATAATCAGCTTTAGATGGTTGATGATTGAAACAATGAACGGACCGATTATAGTATTATAAATTAATCTACTTTCGGCTAAATTACAGAGAGCCAATTAAGAAATGAAATGGGGTTTAACGTCCTACTGTTCTGCTCTGACTGGGAAGATGGGCATACGCCATACAGTGTGCTATGAGGAAAATTTCTCCATACAGTGGTGTTACAGCCTACTCTTATATCGAATTCAAACTGCCAAGGGATCTTTTACATGCACACCAAAGTGTACACAGGACCTCAGTTTTTCGTGCCATCCGAAGGACTAGACAACTGTCATGTATTTGATTAAGAAGTCAATCAAGTTGTCAGCTACAATCCGTAACAGTAATGATTAACATTTATTTAAAAATAGAACTGGAGACATACACAGGAATAATATTAGTATAATATAATTATTACGTACTACCGAGAAACACTTTTACTGGGCTTGTCTAGTTTTTTATCAAGCTACACCTGTCTATGTGAATCAGGTAATATTCTTAGAACTGTTAGTTAAACACCTGAGTTCGAGTAAACCACTATATAATTTGTATGACAGAATGTTTTTGTCTTAGCAATGAATTGTCAGATTTATCTCAAATTTAACACACAATCAGAAATCCACTCTGGGACTGTATACCGGTAGTTAAAAATTACATCACATCAAATCAGAAATTATTACTGAACCAAGCAAGGAAGATCTGCGAAGTGTTCACACGAGTTTTATAAAGATACCTTTATTTTATCTTATTAAATATACTAGTCAGCGATATATCTACCAGTGTACCATACTCATCCAAATAAATGTACACACCCTAATAAAAGTTCATTAATTTATATTAAAACTTAGAATAGAGAGAGAGAGAGAGAGAGAGAGAGAGAGAGGGAGAGAGAGAGAGAAATGGGGTTAACCACACGACACAAACTAGGTAATTTCAGGACTAACATATGGTTCAATTTTATTTCAATAATTTGTTTGCGCGTCGGGGTCTTTAGCAGTGGGAGGACATTGGATGACCTGGAGAAAACCCATGAGGTCGGACAGGTGACCCTTCTCCTTGTCACATACAACCGGGGAATCGAAACCACGCCAGTTGACTCAATGACAGACCGTATGATACAGCGCACACATGCTAACCATTCAGCCATCCAAGCCCCCACTTTGAATAGACTAATCTCATCCTTAAATATTTTATTAAACATACATTATGCAAGAGCTAAATCTGTCTATTGCAGGTCTTTCTTTAGGGCTGAAATCTTATCTAAATTATTAATTAGACATTAATTAACTTATCCAGACCATAATCAACTCTAGATGGCATCGCTATCGCTAGCCTGCGATCATGAGTGGATTATGAGCCGATTTACTGCATAACTTTCCTTCACGATTTAACAATTAAATGGATAATCGAGACTATGCTGTTTATCGTACTGGCATTAGTTCTCGTTTCATAGTGGATCAATTTGACTGAAATTTTCAGCAAATTGCCTTTACATTATTTAGTTTTTAACTATTATAGTGAGAACTGCCAACTCGTTATCGAATCTCCCATAATGTATCTTTAAGAGAATTGATATATATTGACTATGATATGATATTACTTACTACTGTAATCTAGATATCGTTTAATCTTGTGTAGCTAGCACTAATTTGTTTCACATTCATTCAATATCCAATCTTTGTTTAAAAATTTGTAAAAATCGTTTAAAATCACCAAAAATCATCTAATTTGTACATGTGTTCAATTTAAAGCTGACTGATTAATTTTGATAATGAGTGTCCAATTTACAAGTATTTAATTTCCTGACCATTGTTCAAATATTAATCATTATATACATCAATAATCAATTGGGTTGTTTATTTGTTTATTCTTTAACAATGATCCAGAAATTAAACACTTGTAAATTGGACACTCATTATCAAAATTCATCAGTCAGCTTTAAAGTAGCTAAGTCTCCAACTCAATATCATCAAAAATCTTCGACATTGAAAACACGAATTATTTGTCAATTCAAATAAACATTGGTCTTGTGATCTTACAGGGAAAAGATGGGCTTCTGATATCCAATATTCAAGACAAAATAAACATTTTACCATTGGTACACGAATCGTGTACCATAATGCGTTTCAGCGCCATTTGGAACAAGGGACTCAAAGAACAGGGCTAGACATATTCCACAAGTCATGTCAAATGGTGACGCTATATTATTATCTGGAGAGCATGTGCAATAAATACCATCAGTGTAGACTGAAAAAAAACAGACGCTAAAGATTGCCATTCACATGAGACTTCTGGCGTATTTCGCCGAACATAACTGATTAGAAATTACAGTAAAAACAGAATTGATTGAATGTAAATCAGTTTATATACATTCATATTACATTATTATATGCTTTGCGACCCATTTTTGTCAATTTCTAGGTCCCCAATATTAGCTCCTTTAAACTGGACACAAGTACAAATTAGATGATTTTTGGTGATTTTAAATAATTTGTACAAATTTTTAAACCAAGATGTGATATTGAATGAATGTAAAAGAAATTAGCGGTAAATACACAAGATTAAATGATACCTGGGTTAAAGTGTATATGATATTATTTACTATGATATATATGGTATGATATTATTATTAACACTTGACACATGTACAATATATACATGTAGAGTATATCTCTAAACTTGTCATCCACCACAAACATGTTTATATTGTCACTTCTGTTCCACATCATTGATTTTATAAGATCTGCACTTAACACCTTATATTTATTACACTCTCTCACCGTTAATACTCAATTAATGATAGTCATTGACCGACAGACAAATAAAATGAAATGAAATGGGGATTAACGTCCTACTGTTCTGTTCCGACTTGGCTAATGAAGACGGGCATACACCATACAGTGTGCTGTGAGCGACATATTGTTCGGGCAGCACCACTATGGCCTACTCTCATATCGAATTCCAACTGACAAGGGATCTATTATGTGCACGCTAATGTATACACGGGACCTAGGTTTTTCATCCCATCCAAATGACTAGACAGCTGTCCTTGTCAGACCCTCAGTCCTGCACCACTGACAAGGGGAAACCACGCCTGAAAATCCCGATGAACTTTCTCGGACAATGCTGGGATCGAACACGTGATCTCGAGGCTAGCGAGCCAGAGTCTTACCGACAGAAAGAGAAATGGTGTTTAATTATCTACTCAACACACACTACTTGGTAGGTCATCTCGGGAATAACATATGGTACAATTTTTATTTTAATTAGCAGTGCGCGGAAACCGCAGGGAACTGAGAAAAACACACTTGGCTCAATAACAGACCCTTTGATCTAACCATTCGGTCAGCCAACCCACCAGAGTCTAAAATTATTAACCAATCAAAATGTATATCTCAGCTCGTAATGCCCATGTGGAATTCTGATTCCATGGAAACCAAAAATAATGGCCGACACTCACCTGCATGATTCTCTTTAAGAATAATTCTGCGGATGATCGACAATAATCTGTAAATAAATCGGGTGCTATGGTAACCACCATCTCTAAAACACGTAACAAACAAACGGAGATTTCAAAACAAGCAGCACATATCTTTAATTGTCGACTCTCTATGAATAATTGTTCTGTACGACTGACTAGTTGTTGTATCTAGAAACAGATAAAAAAAAACAACTTGTATTAAACATATATTATGCAAGAGCTAAATCTGCCTATTGCAGGTCCTTCTTTAGGTCTGAAAAGTTATCTAAATTATTAATTAGACATTATTTAACTTATCCAGACCATAATCAACTCTTGATGGTATTGCTAGCCTGCAATGTTTATTGGATTAGGTTCCGATTTGCTGTTCGACTTCCATTCATGATTTAATCATGAAATGGATTATCGAGACTATGTTTTTTATCGTACTGACTTTAGTAACGATGATCGAGGCTAGGGAGGGGGACGGGGACGGGATGACAAGACTCCCTTAAAAGAGAAGCAGAAGCTGGACAGGTCGGTAGTTCTGTCTGGCTGCTAGATCAAACTATGATCCCGACAGAAATGAAATGGGGTTTAAAGTCCTACTGTTCTGCTCCTATGCTGGGATAACGAAGACGGGCATACGCCATACAGTGTGCTATGAGGGAAATTTTGCCCGGACAGCGGCACTATCGCCTACACTTATATCGAATTCCAACTGCCAAGGGATCTTTTACATGCATTCCAATGTATACACGGGACCTCGGTTTTTCGTCTCATCCGAAGGACTAGACAGCTGTCCTTGTCAGGCCCTCTGTCCTGCATCACTGACAAGGGGGAACCACGCTGGAAAATCTGGATGAACTTTCTCGGTCAATGCAGGGATCGAACACTCGACCTCCAGGCTAGCGAGCCAGCGTCTTACCCACTTAGCCACGTGATCCACTGATCCCGACAGAGTGAACAGACAGTAATAATAGATATGTTAAAACCCTGATTTCACCCATCACTTATAGGTGATGCTGGCTTTTTACTTGGCAGATGATAATCCAAGAATTTACTTAGGCTTCAATATGAATGGCAAATTGATAGTGAGTAACAATAAATACATTCTGAGAGAGATGGGGTTTAACATCCACTCGATACAAACTAGGTCATTTCGGGACTAACATGGTTTAATTTTATTTCTATAATTCGCTTGCGCATAGGGGTCTTTAGCAGCGGGAGGAAACCGGGGGACCCGGAGAAAACCCACGAGGTTGGACAGGCGATCCTACTCCTTGTCACGTACAACTGGGGATTCGAAACCATGCCAGTTGACACAATGACAGGCCTTATGATACAGCACGCACATGCTAACCATTCAGCTATCCATCCACAAATACATTCTGAAAATGGGCCCTCCGTCAATCAAGTTACATGACAAACATGGCTTCTAAAAATAGATTTTTGATATCTTGGGGTATTTCCTCCCGACTACAATGTTTTGAGAGGGATTTGAAACAAATTTTTGATAGATTAATTAGTTTGAATATGTTTCTAGTCCAAATATATCATCAAATGACATAGTTTATAAATGGGAAGACATCTTTAAAACCGGATTTTTCCTAAAACACTGGCTTGTTAGTATCGTCTCTCGATTGTAGCATAATTTTCAATTCATCTTCGTAAATACTTAACCCCTTAACTGCGTAGGACGTTATATAACGTCCTGGACAACTGCTACTCACCGTGTGTAGGACGTAATATAACGCCCTGGAGGTATTTTCTCCAACCTATTCTTCGAACACAATCTTACCATGTGGAAGACGTTTTATTACGCCTGGTCGAGGAATCTAATTGAAGGGAGACAACTCTATTTACTGTTAGTTTTATTATGGTTTAAGACCACTCAAATTTGTATTCAGGAAAAAATAGGCCCAAATAGGACGTTTTTCGTCAAATTAATTACTCATAGGGGGTAGTTAACGTCAAATTAATTACACAGTTAAGGGGTTAATGGAACTGAATCATTTTTGGACATATATTACTGTAAGAGATTTAACTTTTAGTTTGTGGGGAATTAACAATACCATGGCTTTAATAAAACTATGACAATAATAATAGTTACCTCTTGCATAATGCCAACAAATTCTGATCCATGGCTTTAATAACCAGCGGCTGCCAGGCAGGATACGCCCACATTTTCGAGAGATGGATAGAGAACAAGCTAACAAGAAAGTGATTTTTCCTACAATCAAGGGCCATAATTCAAGAAATTACAATTCGATATGCACATATATCGAAAGGAACTGAGATCTTTGTGTTATAAACTTACATTTCAAGTTTCAACAAAATCGGATAAAAATTGTGACCTCTATAGGGTCCACAACCTTGATATACCATATTTTTACGCTATTTGAGAACGAACGGCGGCTATTTTGTCTGTCAATTTTGGGGCGATTTTCACAAAATTCAAACTCAACTGTCCTTAGGGTGGAACGGTAATATAATAATACGTTTTTTTAAATCGGATAAAAATTATGACCTCTAATGGGTCCACAAGCTAAAAACATGATTTTTCGTACAATCAGGGGCCATAATTCAGGAAGTTACGGTCCGATATGGGCAAATATTGAAAGGAACCGAGATCTTTGGGTTATAAACTTATATTTCAAGTTTCAACAAAATCGGATAAAAATTGTGACCTCTATAGGGCCCACAACCTTGATATACCATATTTTTAAGCTATTTGAGAATGAAGGCGGCCATTTTGTCTGTCAATTTTGGGCCGATTTTCATGAAATTCAAACTCAGTCGTCCTTAGGGTGTAACGGTGATATTATAATACGTTTTTTTAAATCGGATAAAAATTATGACCTCTATAGGGTCCACAAGCTAAAAACGCGATTTTTCATACAATCAGGGGCCATAATTCAGGAAATTACGGTCCGATATGCGCGAATATAGAAAGGAACCGAGATCTTTGGGTTATAGACTTACATTTCAAGTTTCAACAAAATCGGATAAAAATTGTGACCTCTATAGGGTCCACAACCTTGATATACCATTTTCTTACGCTATTTGAGAACGAACGGAGGACATTTTGTCTGTCAATTTTGGGCCGATTTTCACGAAATTCAAATTCAGTCGTCCCTAGGGTGTAACGTCGATATAATAATAATACGTTTTTTTAAATCGGGTAAAAATTATGACTTCTATAGGGTCCACAAGCTAAAAACGTGATTTTTCGTACAATCATGGTTCATAAGTCAGGAAGTTACGGTCTGATATGCACGAATATCGAAAGGAACCGAGATCTTTGGGTTATAAACTTACATTTCAAGTTTCAACAAAATCGGATAAAAATTGTGACCCCTATAGGGTCCACAACCTTGATATATCATATTCTTACGCTATTTGGGAACGAATGGTGGCCATTTTGTCTGTCAATTTTGGGCCGATTTTCACGAAATTCGAACTCAGTCATCCTTAGGGTGTAACGGTGATATAAAAGAACGGTTTTTTAAATCGGATAAAAATTATGACTTCCATAGGGTCCACAAGCTAAAAACGTGATTTTTCGTACAATCAGGGGCCATAATTCAGGAAGTTACGGTCCGATATGCGCAAATATCGAAAGGAACTGAGATCTTTGGATTATAAACTTACATTTCAAGTTTCAACAAAATCGGATAAAAATTGTGACCTCTATTGGGTCTACAAGCTAAAAACGTGATTTTTCGTACAAACAGGGGCCATAATCCATGAAGTTTCGATCCGATACATGCCAATATCGAAAGCAGCCAAGATCTTTTGGGGATAAACATATATTTCAAGTTTCGTCGAAATCGGATAAGAATTGTGACCTGTAGAGAGTCCACAAACAATTGTGGACGGACGGACGGACGGACGGACGGACGGACAGGGGCGACGGCATAATACGTCCTCATGAAAATGTGGGCGTATAAAAACTATGAGGATAATAATAATTACCTCTTGCATAATGCCAACAAATTCTGAGAAAGACCAGTTGAGTTGATTCATGAGGGTATCAAGAAATCTAGTCGAGGTAGGTTCATCATCCAGAAGAATCTTAGCTAATAAACTCTGTAATATCTGTGATGGACACGGCTCTGAAAACAAAGTTAATAGACTCTATTAGCGACACGGCTCTGAAAACAAAGTTAATAGACTCTATTAGCGACACGGCTCTGAAAACAAAGTTAATAGACTCTATTAGCGACAAGGCTCTGAAAGCAAAGTTAATAAACTCTGTAATATCTGTGATGGACACGGCTCTGAAAACAAAGTTTAAATCACTATATTATTATCATTATTATTATTATTAAGGCATATATGGCACTTTATCAACTATTGTTCTCTACAGGCTGGTAAATATATAAAAGCATCTAAAACAAATGGCACAACAAAAATTATCTTTAGATGATCATTCAGCAGGGTATTCTGTGAGGACGAAAAACAAAAAGAAAGAGAGAGATAGTTTTATTTTATTATGTCTCAATTACTAAATGTTATTGGGGTAGAGAGAGAGAGAGAGAGAGAGAGAGAGAGAGAGAAATGGGGTTTAACGTCCACTCAACACAAACTAGGTCATTTCGTGACTAACATATGGTTCAATTTTATTTCAATAATTCGCTTTAGCAGTGGGAGGGAGGAAACGGAGGACCCACCGAAAATCCACGAGATTGGACAGGTGACCCTACTCCTGGTCACGTACATCCAGGGAATTGAAACCATTCCAGCTGACTCAATGACGGACCTTATGATATAGCACACACGTGCTAACCATTCGGCCATCCAACCCCTCTAGGTGAAAAAAGAGATGTTTAAAAATATGAATTGCTTCAGCAGTCCCTATCTTATCTGGAAGTCGATCCATAACAAAATGCTTTCCAAAGTAAGGTATAGTACCATAAATTTAGATTTGAAATTATTTGTCTATTTGGATTGAGTGCCAATTTGTACTTGTATCTGTTCCCCATCAGGTAAATTAAAGGTAACATCAACTACCTGGTGACAATAAGGTAATACAAGTCATTGGATGTGGTTTGTATTTATAAATTTATAACCATATCTACTTGTTAGTATGGTACTTACTCTGTAGACTAACGAAGCTGAATTCTGTTGGTTGAACTTTTGACGGAACCAAATTAGGTAAGTATCTATAGCGATATCCAAAACCACACCCCTGAAATAAAACAGACGGAGAACTTAATAATTATACATATTTAAAATATAATATTGATGCCTGTTTATGAATACAAATACAAGGAAATGAAATGGGGTTTGACATCCTACTGTTCTGCACCGACTGGGCTAATACAGTGTGCTTTGAGGGAAATTTTCACTTGGAGAGCGTCAATATGACCTACTCTTATATCGAATGCCAATGGAACCTTGGTTTTTTGTCCCATCCGAAGAACTATAGTATACATTGTCCTTTGCCAGACCCTCCATTATGAACCGCTGGTAAATCACAACGAAATTTCAACACCATAATCGAACACGAGACCTCGAGGTTTGAGAGCCAACATCTTACTCACTTGATTCTCCGTCCCCAAAAACAACCAAGTATTTTTTTCTGACAAAAAATCTATAAATACAAACCTTCCATAATCGAACTAGAATCCAATTAGTATGGGCCCACGAACGATTTTCATACGGTGCAATCAAAGCTCTTATCATTTTTTCTCGACTGAAATAAAGAAGTGATCCGAGAAATCTGTGAATGGATGGGAATATATAATGACAGTCATAGACTATAGATGTGACCTGTCACAGCAAATTGAGTCGTAAGTCATTGTTTACAATAATACCATATGAACAATTGAGTTGAAATAGGCTTAAAATATAAACAAAATTTAGTTTACTTGATTTGTCAAATCTAAACATTTACCTTTCATGTCATATCATTAAAAAAATTTTTTTTAGCCTAATTTTGCTATTATGGATGGCCGAATGGTTAGCCCGTGGGCGCGTTGTATCATAAGGTCTATGATTGAGTCAACTGGCGTCGTTTCGATTCCCCGGTTGTATGTGACAAGGAGTAGAGTGGCCTGTCCAACCTTGTGGGTTTTCTATGGGTCTTTCGGTTTCCTCCCACTGCAAGCAAATTACTGAAATCCGGAACTTTCCTAACTGATAGAGCCAAAAGGAATTAAGTCTTGTCATAGTTCTGCCAATTGTGAAATGTCTCTAGCATGTGTAATGTATTAAAAGACTTACTTCTCCATGGGCAATGTCTCTAATATGTGTAAGGTATTAGCATAGCAGGTGAAACATGCCAATGCTTGAACTAAACTGTCTCTTAAATCTGAAAAATTAAAACACACAAATTTAATGATGTTGATACTACCTGTTTTACCCCAGATGACATTCTGATCAACACTTTTGACAAATCAGGATTAAAAATTAGTACTGTAAAACCTAAACTACATCCTTGATCCGGCCGGAGTTCTAGTTTAAAATGATAACTTACCATTACTAACAATCTTCTGATCAGCAAAATGGTTGGTTAAAAACATCGCGTAACGTCGTAATATATCTTCGTAACCTATAGATAACAATAAAGATAGGTTGCCAGGCAACTAAACATACGCCCACAGCAGCTAAATCGTCCGAGAGTTGTCGTATATTTGTTCTTTTGTAGATAATTATGGGGCATTTAATAGACAATTTCATACAGATGACATTATAATTTTCGTCGTTTGAGGGTTCACAAGGTTCTAAAAACTAAAACAAGGGCTGTAACTCTGGAAGTAATCTAGAGAAATTGTTGAAATTCGACAGACTTTTTCGTTTTACTAATTCAAATAATACATATCAATTTCATACAGATCAGATGATAACTTTTGTCGTTCAAACATTCACAAGGTTCAACAAAGTAAAACAAGGGCCATAACTCTAGAAGTAATTGACAGAAATTGCTGACATTCAATAGGCTTCTTCATTTCACTAATTTAAATGATGCATATGAATTTCATACAGATTGGGTGATAACTTTTTTCGTTCAAGCGTTCACAAGATTCAACAATGTGAAACAAGGGCCATAACTCTAGATGTAATTAACGGAAATTTGCTGAAACGCAATAGGCTTGTTCGTATTACTAATTTAAACGATACCTATAAATTTCGGACAGCGCTGTTTCTGCCTACTTTTTATCAAATCCCAACTGTCAAGGGTTATTTAATATGCAGGCCAACATGTCACGGTACCTTGGTTTATCGTCGCATCCAAACGATGAGATGCTGTACCATGCCGTCATCACGGACAAGCGAAAAACAGACTGGAGAGAGAGAAATGGGGTTTAACGTCCACTCGACACAGACTAGGTCATTTTAGGACTAACACATGGTTCAATTTTATTTCAATAATTCGCTTGCACGTAGGGGTCTTTAGCAGGGGGAGGAAACCAGAGGACCCTGAGAATACCTAAGAGGTTGGACAGGCGACCCTACTCCTTGTCACGTACAACCGGGGAATCGACAAAGGCGACAGTTGGCTCAATGACAGACTTTATGATACAGCACGCACGTGCTAATCATTCGGCCATGCAACCTCCCCATGGAAATGAAATGGGGTTTAACATCCTACTTTACCGCACTGACTCGGCTAATCAAGACGGACATACACCATATAGTATGTTACGAGGGACATCTTGCGCTATGGCCTACTTTTATATCGAGTTCCAACTGCCAAGGGTTCTTTTACGTGCACGCCAATGTGTACACGGGACCTTGGTTTTCCATCCACGAGATTGGACAGGCGACCCTACCACTTGTCATGTTCAAACGGGGAAATTGAAACCACTTCACTTGAATCAATAACAGACCTTCTGATTTCACGCACACAGGTTATACCATTAGACACCCAACTCCCCGACAGCAGATGTTTGTACTCACCTGGGGGAGTCACAGTGGCTCAGTGAGTAGGACATCGACTTGCTAACCTGGATGTCCCTTGGCATTAGCCAAGAAAGTTCATCAGGATTTCCTGCGTGGTTCCCCCCTTGTCGGTGGTGTAGGACAGAGGACCATACAAAGACAGCTGTCTAGTCATTTGGATGGTACGAAAACCGAGGTCCCGGAACACATTGGCATGAACATAAACTGTTTCCTTTACAGTTAGAAGAGTAAGCCATAGCCCTGCTGTCTGGGCAAAGTTTCCCTCATAGCACTGTATGGCGCGTATGCTCGTCTTCATTAACCCATTTGGAATAGAACAGTAGGTCGTTAAACCCCATTTTATTTGTTTATACTGACCTGGCAGTGATTCGAAGGGTGTAGTTGGGTGAATATAATTCTTCAGGGCATTATAAGCATTAACACATGTTTCTATATAAAACTCCGGCATAAATTGAAGTAATCTACGAAAATGGGACGCTTTCTCTATCGTCTTTAAAACAACATTTAATATCCAACAAACATCTTCTTGTTTGGGCTGAAAATAACACAGACAAAATTTATCCAAAAAGTCATTGGATGTGAATAGACTAAAGTCATCAACAGTAATAGTCACCAAAAATAAAATCTTAGTAAATCATTTTAAAGTGGAGCTAATGTATTATATAAAGAAGAATATTGTAATTAAGTTGTTCACTCAAATAACTCGATACAAACTAGGTCATTTCGGGACTAACATATGGTTCAATTTTATTTCAATAATTGGTTTGAATCTAGACTCAAATAACTTGATACAAACTAGGTAATTTTGGGAATAACATATGGTTCAATTTTAATTCAATAATTGGTTTGAATCTAGAGGTCTTTATATAATTAGTAGTGGGAGGAAGCCGGAGGACCCAGAGAAAACCCATGAGGTTTGACAGGTGACTCTACTCCTTGTCAAGTACAAGTTGGGAATTTAAGCCACGCCACTTGATTCAATCACAGACCTTATGATCTATAGCCAATGCATTAAACCATTCAGCCACGCACCTCCAAAACCCTCGAAATGATGGAATTGCGATCGAGAGAGAGAGAAATTGGATTTAACGTCCACTCGACACAAACTAGGTCATTTCGGGACTAACATACAATTTAATTATATTTTTTAATAATTCGCTTGCGCGTATGGGTCTTTAGCAGTGGGAGGAAACCGGAGGACCCGGAGAAAGCCACGAGGTTGGACAGGCGACCCTACTCCTTGTCACGTACAACCGGGGATTCGAAACCACGCCAGTTGACTCAATGACAGGTCTTATGATAAAGCACGCACGTGCTAACCATTCGGCCATCCACCCCCCCGGAATTGCGATCGAAAGACACAGGACTGGGATCTACATATTAAGCAGTGACAGAATTAAACCAACTACCTTAGAATATATAACAGCCAACACCCATCCCATCTGTCTGGCTTGTTCTGTTATTTTCTCTAGAAAAACTTCTTTAGCTTTTAATAAATCATCTCGAACATCCTTCATCTAAAATAAAACATATTAAATCAGAATATGAATGAATGAATGAATGAATGAATGAATGAATGAATGAATGAATGAATGAATGAATGAATCAATCAATCAATCAATCGCCAGTGGAATGACCATTTACTCAACTCTATTTAAATCATCTCTACATTACAATATATATTGGATTGAGTGAGTGAGTAAATGAATGAATGAATGAATGAATGGTGACAGGATTGAAGTGGACACTGTATTATTTCAGGATTAAAATCTACATTTTTATTTCAATGATTTGTTTGTGAGCAGAAGTGAGAAAAAAACATTATCCAGAAAACGAAAGAATTTTAAAAAACATTTTTCATGGAGTAGATTCTTTTGTGGGGACAAGAATATTCCATTTTTTTAGGTCATTTCGGGACTAACACATGGTGCAATTCTTCTATTTCAATAATGTGTTTGGACATTGGGGTCTTTATCAGTGGGAGGAAACTGGAGAAAACCCACAAGGTTGAACAGGCGACCCTATTCCTTGTCATGTACAACCGGGGAATCGAGAGAGAGAGAAATGGGGTTTTACCTCCACCTAACACAAACTAGGTAATTTCGGGACTAACACATGGTTCAATTTTATTTCAATAATTCGCTTGCGCTTAGGGATCTTTAGCAGTGGGAGGAAACCGGAGGACCTGGAGAAAACCCATGAGGTTGGACAGGTGATCCTACTCCTTGTCACGTACAACCGGGATTCGAAACCACGGCAGTTGACTCAATGACAGGCCTAATGATACAGCACGCACACGCTAACCATTCGGCCATCCAGTCCCCCTCCGGGGAATCGAATTGACAGATCTAATGATCTAAAGAGTAAGTGTAGATCCTACGGCCAGCCAACCCCCCCCCCCACAAGAGATGAAAGAATATAATTTACCTCTTCAGGACATTTGTTATATTTTTCTTCCGTATCTTGTAAAGCTAACACAAAGTCCTTCATATTATCTCTTAATGCACACATCTACAATATAAATACAGCTAATATTATAGAGACCCAATAAAAACACAATGTCTTGCATAGTAATGCACACATCTACAATATAAATACAACTATTATTATAGATACCCAATAAAAACACAATATCTCCTATAGTATAAATAATATCATACTGACTCAATAATTATATTATATAACTAACCTTTCCTAGCTGTTTATGTGCTGTACTATGGTATAATATAACTAAACCATCTAATAAATCTATCAGAGAATTACCACTTGGTAACTCGGTATCAGGATATTCCTCACCGGGTGCTGAAAAAAACAAAGCATATTACACTGTAACTGGGGTATCATTTAATCATGTGTATCTGTGTATCTAGCACTAATTTCTTTCACATTCATTTAATATCAAATCTTTGTTTAAAAACTAGTAAAAATTATTTAAAATCACCCAAAATCATCTGATCTGTGCTTGTGTCCAGTTTAAAACTGAGAATTCAATTTTGATAATGAGTGTCCAATTTACAAGTGTTTAATTTCTCACTCACTGTTAGAAAATAAACAACCCAATTAATTATTGATGTATAATGATTTATGTTTGGACAGTGGTCAGGAATTAAATACACAAGCTTAAATGATACCTGGGTTACAGTTTTTATGTATTCATAAATTTCAGTCCACGTAAAATCATATATTTTTATTTTGTTATGATTTGACACAAGCTAGACCAATTAGACATCACGTCCACTTGTACAGTACAATGATTAGGTTTTCTCTATTTGTATACAAGAAAATAATAACTTACTCTGTGGAACGGTTTTAACTTTAATATCTTTACCATCATCATAAACAACGAGACCTTGAGCTTTATTCACCTCACCTGTATACACAAACATTCATAGGTTTTAATTCACAGAGGGGTGGAGAATAATTCACAGCAGGGTGGAATATAATTGACAGAGGGGTGGAGAATAATTGACAGAGGGGTGGAGAATAATTCACAGCAGAATGGAGAATAGTTCACAGAGGGATGGAGAATAGTTCACAGAGGGATGGAGAATAATTCACAGAGGAGTGGAAAATAGTTCACAGAGGGGTGGAGAATAATTCACAGAGGGGTGGAAAATAGTTCACAGAGGGGTGGGGAATAATTCACAGAGGGGTGGAGAATAATGCAGAGGGGTGGAGAATAATTGAGAGCGGGGTGGGGAATAATACACAGTGGGGTGGAGAATAATTCACAGAGGGGTGGAGAATAGTTCACAGAGGGGTGGAGAATAATTGAGAGCGGGGTGGAGAATAATACACAGTGGGGTGGAGAATAATTCACAGAGGGGTGGAGAATAATTCACAGAGGGGTGGAGAATAGTTCACAGAGGGGTGGAGAATAGTTCACAGAGGGGTGGAGAATAGTTCACAAAGAGATGGACAATAGTAGTGGAATGATCTAATATGTGCCCTTTAACCCATAAGGTCACAGGGTAATGGCAATTGGTAATAGAATGGAATCATTACATTTTTGTAAGTAATGGAAGATTTCAAAAGTAATGAGTAATGGAAATGTTATTAATTACATTCCAAAATTCATGTAATGGTCAATTGCATTTTAATTACTTTTCAATTACATTTTATGGCACATATAAATATTTCCTATATGACAAATTTAATAACACTAGAGAAGTAGAGTCTGTGTCAATACACAAAATAATATTATAAAACAATTGATTATAATAAAGAATGCATACCGCCCAACGTTCTGTTTAAATGAGACATTAAACCTCCACATCTTTGAAAATCAAAATAATCACGACTATCAGACCAGAACTCCTGAACTGGCATAAACGCATCTAGAAAATAAAACATTCATTGTCTCATCTAATGTTTAAAATGAAATGAAATGGGGTTTAACGTCCTACTGTTCTGCTCCTAACCTGGGCTAATGAAGATGGGCATATGCCATACAGTGTGCTATGAGGGAAATTTTGCCCGGGCAGCGGTGCTACGGCCTATCCTTATATTGAATTCCAACTGCAGAGGGATCTTTTACGTGCACATCAATGTGTACACAGAACCTCGGTTTTTCGTCCCATCTGAACGACTAGACAGCTGTCCTTGTCAGTCCCTGCATCACTGACAAGGGGAAAATCGGGATGAACTTTCTCAGCCAATGCAGGGATCGAACACCCGACCTCCAGGCTAGTGAGCCAACGTCTTACCCACTTAGCCACGTGATCCCCCTCTAATGTTTGAAGTATACTCAAAATAAATTTCTGGTTGTATTAGGTATTGTTTTATTAAAGCAGTGAATTGAGTGATAATGGAATTATGTTCTAGTCTTTATCGCCGGGGGTGATTGGGGGATAATGGAATTATGTTCTAGTCCTTATCGCCGGGGGTGATTGAGTGATAATGGAATTATGTTATAGTCTTTTATCGCCGGGGGTGATTGAGTGATAATGGAATTATGTTCTAGTCTTTATCGCCGGGGGTGATTGGGGATAATGGAATTATGTTCTAGTCCTTATCGCCGGGGGTGATTGAGTGATAATGGAATTATGTTATAGTCTTTTATCGCCGGGGGTGATTGGGGATAATGGAATTATGTTATAGTCTTTTATCGCCGGGGGTGATTGGGGATAATGGAATTATGTTATAGTCTTTATCGCCGGGGGTGATTGGGGGATAATGGAATTATGTTACAGTCTTTTATCGCCGGGGGTGATTGGGGATAATGGAATTATGTTATAGTCTTTTATCGCCGGGGGTGATTGGGGATAATGGAATTATGTTATAGTCTTTATCGCCGGGGGTGATTGGGGGATAATGGAATTATGTTACAGTCTTTTATCGCCGGGGGTGATTGGGGATAATGGAATTATGTTATAGTCTTAATCGCCGGGGGTGATTTGGGGATAATGGAATTATGTTATAGTCTTTATCGCCGGGGGTGATTGGGGGATAATGGAATTATGTTATAGTCTTTATCGCCGGGGGTGATTGGGGGATAATGGAATTATGTTATAGTCTTTTATCGCCGGGGGTGATTGAGTGATAATGGAATTATGTTCTAGTCTTTATCGCCGGGGGTGATTGGGGATGATGGAATTATGTTCTAGTCCTTATCGCCGGGGGTGATTGAGTGATAATGGAATTATGTTATAGTCTTTTATCGCCGGGGGTGATTGGGGATAATGGAATTATGTTATAGTCTTTTATCGCCGGGGGTGATTGGGGATAATGGAATTATGTTATAGTCTTTATCGCCGGGGGTGATTGGGGGATAATGGAATTATGTTACAGTCTTTTATCGCCGGGGGTGATTGGGGATAATGGAATTATGTTATAGTCTTTTATCGCCGGGGGTGATTGGGGATAATGGAATTATGTTATAGTCTTTATCGCCGGGGGTGATTGGGGGATAATGGAATTATGTTACAGTCTTTTATCGCCGGGGGTGATTGGGGATAATGGAATTATGTTATAGTCTTAATCGCCGGGGGTGATTTGGGGATAATGGAATTATGTTATAGTCTTTATCGCCGGGGGTGATTGGGGGATAATGGAATTATGTTATAGTCTTTATCGCCTGGGGTGATTGGGGGATAATGGAATTATGTTATAGTTTTTATCGCCGGAGCCACGGTGGCTCTGTGAGTAAGACGCTTTCTTGCTGATCTGGAGGTCTTGGCCTAGAAAGTCCCTCAAGATTTTCTAGAGTGACTTCCCATGTCAGTGGCGTAGGACGGAGAGTCTGACAAGGACAGCTGTAGTTTGGATGGAACAACGAGATCATGTTTACACATTGGTGTCCACGTAAAAGAACCCTTGGAGTTTGGAATTCGATTTAAGAGTAGGCCGTAGTGCTTCTGTCAAGGTAAAATTTCCCTCATAGCACACTGTATGACGTGTGCCCATCTTCATTATACTAGTCGGAGCAGAAAAGTAGGACGTTAAACCCCATTTCATGTCTTTTATCACCTAAACAAGAACAACTTGTCAATGACATCATCACAGCCATTTTGGAATTGTTACGTCATATCAAAATTAGAAGTTTTATGTTTCTTGTAACCATAGACTTTTTTAAAAAGTGCCACGTCACTCCAAGAACAAGATTACCAGGGCTGTCGGTAATTTTTCACAGTTGATTAGCAGCACTGCTAATCAAAAAGTCCAATTTTGCCAAATTTGATTAGCAAATTTAAAAATTGATTAGCAGTTTTTCAGTTTCAACATAAAACACCTAAATAACAAGATATTACTTTAGCTCATAATAAATATGATTAGATTCCATTCTTACTATTCTTAGATTTTTTTAGCACTGCCACAAGTACTTGTGACAGTTTGTGAATGTGATGTAGACATTTAGTTAGGTCTTATGTCTGAAGCCAATTCTTAACAGTGACTTCCGAAGCCGCAATCATTTTAATTGTTATTTTTTGTTACGTTAGAAATCTTCGTTAGAAAACAATTTCGTCTGCTTTTTATCGTGTATTGCTATTTTTGTTAAATCGGGCGCACTTCGATTAACTAGACACACACGATATTTTACGGGAATTTTTACTTTGATTTATCATTTTACAATACGTTAACATATATTTATTTTTTTATATTTTATTTACAATACGTGGGGGATACACTGGATTTATTTCTTTCAAAATGAATATGATATAATTACTTGATGTCTCGCAACGTGAGTGGTACTACTTGATTCCCAAATCCGGTTTAATACTCCCTATTCATAGAGTTATGTCCCTGTATTATATAATACCATATAATGAATTGTGTCTGGGTAGTTCGAGTAGAAAATGTCACTCGGAGAATTCAGTTTTGTTTATAAAATTTTATTCAATATTTTATACACGTTGAAAGTGTTCAGAAAGCCTTCTAGTCTTCAAATGTGGATTATCCTTGTGTTAATATCCAAAATGACAGGCATATTAATGATTCGCAGTTACTGCGAATCAAAAACTTTAGATTTTAATTTTTGATTAGCAACGGACAAAATATGTATCGCAAATTGCGCTGCGATACTGGTTGTCGGCAGCCTTGAAGATTACCAATGTATGAATGTTTTTCTGTATCGTTGATTGGAACATTAAAAATCAGCACCAATATAAAAATGTTAAAAAAAAATTCGAACATGTAAGCATTTTTGAGTGTGTTTTCGCTGGTTACATGGTAACAATCCCATTACATTTGAATTAAATCGATTTTTTCACCAGCGCCAACGAACAAGCGCCATGTGCGAAAACGGGCACATGGAACACATGGTTTTGTGATAGGTTTGTTAAAGGAATAAAATAGGGTTTAGCATCCTATTGTTCTGCATCAACGGGGCTAAAGAGGACGGGGGGGGGGGGGGGGGCAATCAATGAAGACCAGTGGGGGGTGGGGGGGGCTAGGTCTGTTAAATCAATCAATGAAGACCAGGGGGATGGGTCTGTTAAATCAATCAATGAAGACCAGTGGGGGATAGGTCTGTTAAGTCAATTAATGAAGAGACTCACCTTTACTTAAAACAAATCTACATGGATCTTCCAGTCGAAAATTATCCCAATAATATCTGACAGCTTGAACTAAACGGTGGAAAAAACATAAACTAACAGGCAGTGGGCATGAATGAGTCTGATGTACCTGAAGACAAAATACAAAAACTCTAGATGTAATTAACATAAATTATTGAAATTAAATAGGATTCTTCATCTCACTGATGTAAACAACATATATCAAATTCAAAACATTGGATGATAAATGTAGTCTGTAGAGTGTTCACAAGAAATTGTGGACGACAGAGGGACAGTGGCGACGGCAATATACGGCTACATTTCCATGTGGGCGTATAAAAATATTTATTTTTGGAACCTAATTATAATTTACTAGTGTAGCCGCCAACCCTGAACAGACCACCTTTGCTCGGGGGTCATAACTCCGAAACCGGAAGTGGTAGACTAACGCCACCTTGCCTATGTTACTCCCCGGTCCGAGCTTCCCCTATACCCGAAATTTCAGACTCGGGGCAGACCTAATGTAGCCGCCAACCCCGAACAGACCTGCTTCGCTCGGGGGTCATAACTCCGAAACCGGAAGTGGTAGACTAACGCCACCTGGCCTATGTTACTCCCCGGTCCGAGCTACTCCTATAACCCAAATTTCAGACTCGGGGCAGACCTAGTGTAGCTGCCAACCCCGAACAGACCGGCTTCGCTCGGGGGTCATAACTCCGAAACCGGAAGTGGTAGACTAACGCCACATGGCCTATGTTACTCCCCGGTCCGAGCTTCCCCTATACCCCAAATTTCAGACTCGGGGCAGACCTAGTGCAGCCGCCAACAGGATACCCGGCTTCGCTCGGGGGTTATAACTCCGAAACCGGAAGTGGTAGACTAACGCCACCTGGCCTATGTTACTCCCCGGTCCGAGCTACCCCTATACCCCAAATTTCAGACTCGGGGCTGACCTAGTGTAGCCGCCAACCCCGAACAGACAGACAGACAGACAGACAAACGATAGTCACAAATATATATATAGATTTGCTAACATATACCTATACATGGACGTGGACACACAAACAATGGCCTGTCAAAATTTGTTCAATGTTCTGTTTGCCATTGGTTAGTCATTCCCAACATTATTATTAGACACTATCTAGTGAGTCATTCTATAAGTTGTTCTGTTTATTATGTCGGGAATTCCCATGTTAACCAGACAGTCTCAAATGAGTCATTCTATTAGCGGTTTTGTTTATTATGTCAGGAATTCTCAGGTTAATCAGACAGTTATTCTGTTGGGTATTCCCAAGTTAATCTAGTGAGTCATTATGTCGAGCATAGCCAAGTTAATCATTTCCTTAATATCAGTTTAAAAATTTAGTGACAAGTTGCCACACTTACTCTCCCAAGTCCACTGTTTTCTCTCAAGAAAGCTCGAAATTTTTCTAAAAATATTACTCTTGAAGTTTCATTTTTCTGGAAAGAAAAGAGGCATATAAAAGATATATCAGAAACAATTCAACGACATGCCATTATATCAATAATTTGCTTGCGCGTAGGGCTCTTTAGCAGTGGGAGGAAACCGGAGGACCCTGAGAAAACCCAGAAGGTTAGACAGGTGGGGTTTAACATCCACTCAACACAAACTAGGTCATTTCGTGACCAACATATGATTCAATTTTATTTCAATAATTCGCTTGTGCATAGGGTTTTTTAGCAGTGGGAGGAAATTGGAGGGTCCAGAGAAAACCCATGTGTTGGACAGGCGACCCTACTCCTTGTCATGTACAACCAGGGTATCAAAACCACGAAACACCCCACCTAATTCAACCCCCCTACCAACAAGGGGATGATCCAGAGATCACAGGTCTATAGAATATGGCTGTACACCAACTTGATTAAAATACAGATCTATATTTCGTTTTGTTTTTTTATACTTTCGATGGCCTACACTACCTGAAGATCTGATCAGTCGTACTGGAAGGTTGCGATAGGGGTCGTACGGGCGGCTTTTGACCCTATAAAGTCTGACATTGATTAATCAATCAGCGTTGTCGTTTCTATTGGTTTACCCACAGTTCCGTGCATGGCACATCAAGACGTCACCGTAACACAGACCGTTTCATTGGCTAATCCCTCACACCATCCAGAACATGTCAATCATAAGAACTCTTCAAGATCCTAGTGTAGTAAAGACAAGTAACAGGAAATTTTGAACCATAAAAAAACAAAACGAAATAGGGTCTGTGTTTTAATCTGTGTATCGAGGTATAGAATATTTATAATTACCTCCATTAAATCATTATGAATCAATAAAACTTTTAACATTTCTACTTGGATTTCTTCAATTTCTGTAATAAAAAAAAAAAATTATATTTCTGTTATTACATTATTAATCACAAATGAGTATAATTAAAATACCAACTACAAAAAGAACATGATTATTATTATTACAGTAGAACGTGCTCGGGCGTGCACTCCTAATCAGCGAACACTTGCTTCAACGAGCACCAAAAAATCCCCCCCCGAGCGATTTTTTAAGTAATTTAACCCCTACTAAACACGCACCTGTTCAACACCTGCAACGGGCATCTATATTAGCCCCATATCATGCTATTTCATTCATTGAGCGGGCACATCATAGTGAATCTCGGAGAATCACGTTCTCGCTTGAGCGAACGAGACTGAAATGTCACTAATCTTGACACGATTTACTCGCTTGGCTTGAACTAACTATCACTAATTAACAAGTTTACTCACACCCCAAGCTGATAATTTTAACCATTAATCAATATTCTATTCATATCCAAGCCAATGATGATATATAAGAAAGAGTCTGAATTGATAAGACATTGTTTTTCATTATGTCTAATATTACTACGCCTCATAAAGTTCTTACATCTATTCGAAAAGTTTTGACACTTGAAGAACGTGTTAAAGTGATACAGTTATCAAATGAAAGTAAAAGTGGTCGCGTAATCGCTAAAATAGTTGGGGTGGGAAATACTCAAACTCACAGCATTTTGAAAAGAAAGGCAGAAATTTTAGACGATTTTGAAAATAATTCATCACCTCACAATCACAAGAAGCGCACAAAAAGGTTGACAGGTAATGAAGACATTAACGATGTCTTTATTTTTTGTGGTAGGGGTTGGGGCAATATTGGATACCTCTAGTCAAGGAGCACCTCCATTAAGCAAGCATTTTTAAATTTCCATTGGGTGCTTGCTTAATACAAGTTCTACTGTACTTTATTGTCTAAGACATAACAAGATGGCAGTGTGAAATTAATAGAAAACTAAGTAGATGGACTTTCAAGTTGTTTTTACTGTGTATGTTGAATAAAACCCGGGAGACAATCTAGCGTTGATTTTGTTTTCTTAATTAAATAATCAATCTGAGTACGTATTAGCAAGGATTAAGTCGTGAGAAATTTGATATTTAAGCGAAAAATGCAAATGATGCATCTTTACTTTAAGTTTTTAAACTGTAGACCAGGGAGCGTATAAACTACAGACCAGCTGTATCTACCAGGTCTTCTACTTTAAATATTCACTGTTAGTCATTTTTGATAACGCTTGGAAACTTTGCAAATTGAATCCATAATTCATGTTTATGGTAAATTTGTGTGTCTACTCCACTTTACACACAAATACATTGGTAATTTTTTATATCCAGTGGTCATGACCAGCTTATACGGCCAACCTGGTACCCATGGTGCCTACCTTCAATTTGTTTTCTAAGTTGATCACAAGATGCAAAATATTTCTTCTGTTTCGATAATTCTTCTGGACTGTTTTTCTCTTTAGGTAGAATATCTTCATCCTGAAAACAATGGGGTTCAATAGAAATATTTCTATATTATTTTAATATAAGAGATGAAATTGGTTATTAAAACACGAATATCATATTGAAGTCTTCAGATGGATTGAACGCACATTGCAGGCTCCTATTTATACTGTTCCTCTACTTGCTGTGGTCACAAATTAGCGGGGTGCAGAACAAAAATAGGGTTTATTGGGTTTAACATCCTACTTTCCTGCGTGAACCAGGAGAAGAAAGATGGGCATACGTCATGCAGTGTACTATGAGGGACATTTTGGCCGAACAACTGCGCTACAGACCACTCTTATTTTGAATTCCAACTGTTAGGCGATATATATCTCTTTTCCTAGTCAAAGAGAGAGGGAGAGAGAAATGGGGTTTAACGTCCACCCAACACAAACCAGGTCATTTCGGGACTATCATATGGTTTAATTATATTTTTTAATAATTCGCTTGCGCGTATGGGTCTTTAGCAGTGGGAGGAAACCGGAGGACCTGGAGAAAACCCACGGGGTTGGACAGGCGACCATACTCCTGGTTACGTACAACCGGGGAATCAAAACCACACCAGCTGACTCAATGACAGTCCTTATGATACACTGCACACGTGCTAACCATTCAGCCATCCAACCCCCCCACCTTAGTCAGACAAGCTGTCCTGCACCAATCTGGGCCCAGTTTCACGAAATTTTAACTAAAGATAAAATCCAAATTTAGTAGATACTTCAGTTTTGATTGGCTAAGAACTAAAATCAATCTAATATTATCCAATCAAATTACTAAAATTTGGATTTCATCTTAGTTAAAATTTCGTGAAACAGGCCCCAGGACTGAAATCAGCCAATACTGTAATTAATCCTGTGACATCCTTTTTATTGAGTCAGCATTTAACTCACTGAACTACCTGAGTATTATATCAATTATACACCAATATAGACGTAGTCCAAACAACTTGTGTCAAAATTTACATAGGTAAGTTTGTAGAAATGGCTATCCAGACAATTGGGGCTATCAGGAATTTTAAGGACTTATAACTAACTATATGGAAACTAAATGTTTATATTTGTAAGAAAAGGTATAACTGAGATTCCAACAGATGTTCAGGTCAAATATTCTTACCTTAGATTGATTAGCCCATCTAATTACAGGTATCCTTACCTTAGATTGATTAGCCCACCATGCTACAGGTATTCTTACCTTAGATTGATTAGCCCACCAAGCTACAGGTATTCTTACCTTAGATTGATTAGCCCATCAAGCTACAGGTATTCTTACCTTAGATTGATTAGCCCACCAAGCTACAGGTATTCTTACCTTAGATTGATTAGCCCACCTAATTACAGGTATTCTTACCTTTGATTGATTAGCCCACCAAGTTACAGGTATCCTTACCTTAGATTGATTAGCCCACCAAGCTACAGGTATTATATCTGCTAACCCGGAATCATCTGGTGGTTTAATGTGTAGAAATATGGGAAATTTGACTTTATCAAATGTAAAATAATGTTAAGGATAATAACAGTTCTTTAAGTTTCTGTCTAATGATTTACGATTGCCAATGGATGATTTACCAATGCCAATGATTTACAAAGAGAGAGAGAGAGAGAAATGGGGTTTAACGTCCACTCGACACAAACTAGGTCATTTCGGAACTAACATATGGTTTAATTAAATTTCAATAATTTGATTGCGAGTAGGGGTCTTTAGCAGTGGGAGGAAACCTGGGGACCCAGAGAAAACCCAAGAGGTTAGACAGGCGACCCTACTCCTTGTCTCATACAACCGCAATAATTTACAATCGCCAATGGATGATTTACAATCGCCAATGGATGATATACAACCACCGATGGATGATTTACAATCGCTGATGCATGATTTACAATCACTGATGCGTGATTTACAATCGCTGATGCATGATTTACAATCACTGATGCATGATTTACAAATGCCAATGGATGATTTACAATCCCCAATGGATGATATACAATCCCCAATAGATGATATACAACCACCAATGGATGATTTACAATCACCGATGCATGATATACCATTGCCAATGGATGATTTACAATCGCTGGTGTATGATTTACAATCGCTGATGTATGATTTACAATCTAAAAAACAACAAATTGGAAAGGAAAGGATCAGCGTCGGTGTTCCAAGTGGCTATTTGGAATACAATTTTCACATTGTTTTGTTTTCTTTCACTGACAGTTCCATATGTCACATGATAAGAACTCGACTCAACAAATCATTTGTTTTCAAATCCCTCACATCATCCAGAATGTAAATTATTTAAGAACTCTTCCAGATCCTTTTGTGTTTTAAGTTCTCTTGAATAAAGGTCCCATGTCAACATTGGTCAATTAGAGACTAACATATGGTAATTTTTATTTCTATTATTTCCCATACACTTCATCAAATTCAAAACAACAAGAAACACTTGTATCAACATACTCATCGGTTTTATCCACTGACAAGTGAAAAGAGAGAGAGAGAGGTCTAACAGCCACTCGACACAAACTAGGTCATTTCACGACTAACATATGGTTCTATACTTTATTTCCATAATTCGATTGCGCGTACGGGTCTTTAGCAGTAGGCGGAAACAACACATCCTGGACAAAACCCACGAGGTTTGACAGGCGACCCTACTTCTTGTCATGTACAAGCGGGGAATCAAAACCACACCACTTCACTCAATGACAGACCTTCTGATTTGACATGCACGAGCTAAACTATTCGTCCACCCAACTCCCTACAGTGACAAATGGGAACCAGATTTTAAAACCCTGTTTCCGCCCGCTTCTCTTTCGACTCAATATTTAAAAGGATATAAAACGTTTTTTAAGAGGTACTGTCTGGTTTGTTTGTGGCGTAGAACTGCCAGAGTTATACACAAATACTTTTTCTGAAAGATAAATAAAAACATGCACAAAGAAAGGTAAGATCTTTCTAACATTAACATCCATATTTCTGTAATTACATGAAATTTCAATCTGATTAAAACACAAATACTATTTCGTTTCGTTTTTTATAGTTCAAAAGTTTGATTTTACTTGTCTTTACTACACTTGGATCTGGAAGCGTTGTTATTTGACTCGTGTTCTGCTTGAAATGAGGGGTCAGCCAATTAAATGGTCTGTCGAATTGAGCTTTTGACCTTTTTTGCGTTGAACTGTGGGTAGACATTAGCAGCAATAGAAATCAAAACAAAGCAAAAGTAGATAAAAAATACATGGCGGTTGCTAACTGGTTAATCGAATGACTGACGTAATCAGGTCAAATGTCGCTTTCTTGGTACCTGACATCATAGAACGTGAACTCCCACTATAACTTGTTAGATCTACATGTAGTGTAGGCCATCGAAAGTATAAAAAACGAAACGAAATATAGATCTATATTTTAATTAGATTGATGAAATTTGTGCCTGAATATCACAGAAAAAATTGAACCTGATTAAGCTATACTTATCAGCTTAACATTGTCAGTTACCAGTGGTTAATATTCAGACTTGAAATTAAACATACATTATGCCTATTTTAGGTCTTTCTTTAGGCCTGAAATGTTATATAAATTATTAATTAGATATTAATTAACTTATCCGGGCCATAATCAACTTTCGATGCCATCGCTAGTCTGCAATGTTTATTGGATTAGGTTCCGATTTGTTGTTCAACTTCCATTCCTGATTCAATCATGAAATGGATAATCGAGACTATGTTTTTTATTGTACCAACTTTAGTAATGATGATCGAGGCTCGGCCGAAAATTCAATTGCTAAAATCTCGGTTCAGAGTGGATCAATTTGACTGAAATTTTCAGCAAATTGCCTTTACATTATGTAGTTTAAAACTATTATAGTGAGAACTGCCAGCTCATTATCTAATCTCCCATAATGTGTCTTTAATATAATAAACAATAAGAACTTACAGCATGTTTAAAGTCTGGTGTAACAGGTGAAAATCTATAAGCTGATAATAAACATATAATTAAATGTTCCATACACGACTTCATCTCATAATCCTGTAAATAAACACAATAAACACAACATAACCATATTAGGGAGTCACGGTTGCTAAGTGAGAAAGACGCTGGCTCGCTAGCCTGGAGGTCGCGTGTTTGATCCCTGTATTGGCTGAGAAAGTTCATCCAGATTTTCAGCTGTCTAGTCATTTGGATGGGACGAAAAACTGAGGTCCCGTGTACACATTGGCGTGCACGTAAAAATCCCTTGGCAGTTGGAATTCGATATAAGAGTAGGCCATAGTGTCGCTGCTCGGGCAAAGTTCCCTCATAGTACACTGTATGGCGTATGCCCTTCTTCATTAGCCCAGTTGGAGCAGAGCAGTAGGACGTTAAATCTGATTTCATTTCATTTCCTATAAATATATACGATATTCTAACTGTAATCATTAACGACTGTTGGTGACACTAGATAGACTTTATATCTGGGTGGATTTTGCCTGGGTGGTGTATTTCAAGAGTAAGACGCTGGCTAGCTAGCCTGGAGGTCGGGTGTTCGATCCCTGCACTGGCCGAGAAAGTTCATCCAGATTTTCCGGCGTGGTTCCCCCTTGTTAGTGATGCAGGATGGAGGGCCTGACAAGGACAGCTGTCTAGTCCTTCGGATTATACGAAAAACCGAGGTCCTGTGTATTCATTGGAATGCACGTAAAAGATCCCTTGGCAGTTGGAATTCAATATAAGAGTAGGCGATAGTGCAACTGCCCGGGCCAAATTTCCCTCATAGCACACTGTATGGCGTATGCCCGTCTTCATTAGCCCAGTTTAGGAGCAGAACTGTAGGACGTTAAACCCCATTTCATTTCATTTCATTTCATTTCTGTATTTCAAGATGTTTGTGCTTAGAGCCTCTGTCTGTAGTCTTTAAAATGGTGAATATACTAGCTACAGAAGAAATTGCGGACGTCAGCTCTCTATTTCAAGTCCATTCCTGGGGTCATGCTTATGGCTGGCCCCCAGATTGATTCAGTTAATATTATGTAGGGTCATTGTATTTGTTGGTACTTCATAATGGGCATTTTTCATTAGGGAACAGACAACATAGTGTACATTTTCATTGTATAGCGGAAAGCATGGCACACCAATCACATGACTTATACATAACTGCATGCACATGAACAAGTATTAATATAAACCATCTAATATTCAATACATCAGAAATATGTATTGTTTTATGGTCGAGAGCGAGACATTAAGTAATATATTGTAACACCAAGAGGACCGTCAGGTCCGAGTGTTTTTACAATATATTACGCAATGTCTCAGCTCGAGACCATTAAACATCTTAAAATACAGACACTCCGCACGTGCGTTTACAGTGAAATACGTCACTCGAGTCTAATATTTGACAAGGTACGATTGGCAAGTTGCCCGTACGATTATTTGAAATAATGGTACGCCAACATCAATGGGTGACGTCACATCTGTATTTTAAATATGTTTATTGTTTGAAATGTATGTCCATTGAGTAGTAGAGAGTTTACGTACCTGTAATAATGCCCATGATATATCTAACAACTTGGATACATATGACTGTTCATTCTTAATATCTTTATAATCAACAATACTCGATAAAAACTTTAACAAACAAGCTTCAATAATATAGGCACTTCTCTACAAAATAAAACATAGAAATATTCAAATTTAGCCCATATAGAGTGAGAGAGAGAAATGGGGTTTAACGTCCACTCGACACAAACTATGTCATTTTGGGACTAACATATGGTTTAATTTTATTTACATAATTCACTTACGCGTAGGGGTCTTTAGCAGTGGGAGGAAACCGGAGGACCCGGGGAAAACCCCACGAGGTTGGTCAGGCGACCCTATTCCTTGTCACGTACAACCGAGGATTCGAAACCACGCCATCCAACCCCCTCAGCCCATATAACTTAGGTTATAACATCACAAACAATATAATCAATTCTTCACACAATTCAGGTTTAGTAAATCTATGAGAATTAAACGGACATAATGTCAAACCTTCCTTTTAGTTTTTTAAATATGTCATTTATGATGTATGATGGGTTTTTCCCTTTTATATGTGTCATTCATGAGGGATTTTCCCTTTTATGTATGTCATTCATGATGGGTTTTTCTCTTT